AAAAAAAAAAAAAAAAAAAAAAAAAAAAAAAAAACCGCTGTGACCCGTCCTGGTTATTACCCAGTGAAAAGTCTCAGGACGAGACGGCAATGTAGCTTGTCGATAAATTTTACAATGCAAGTTCTAGAGTTTAAACTTTATACACGTGCATTCTTGATATGGGTCATATAATTGTTGTTACACTTTGTTATCAATAAATGTTTGCTTTTAGTGTCAGACGCTGATAGTCATATCACAGTCCACAAGCTGTGTAACAGGTATAAGGCATTCAGACGTCCACTCATCGCCACGTGCTTAGAATAAGATTGATATAACTTGGCGCAGAAAAGCGTATCTTTATTATGGCAAGACATTTCCAAATCTGCCTCCTTCTCTTGGCTTGTCTTGTAGCAGGAGGTAAGGCTGAGATTTTAATTGAGTTAAAACTCAATACACAGACAACTGGGATATGTAATGTGTTGTATTCGAAGTAGACGGGATCAATGGTATTGGTAAAAAACATTTGAGGAAGAGTCACTTCCGCAAGTCATTGATACTTTTACAGCTAGGTGTTACTGGTGTGTTCAGCAGCAAGTTTAAACGGATGTTCAGAATATTAGTGAAACTTTGATAAAATTTGTGTCCTGAAAGGATGCCCATTTAAGAGCTCTATAGACAACAGCCTCTTGGGATTTCTGGTGAAGTCCATGTGATCTTTCTTATAACGCCCATTAAGTTCTATCGTTATGAATTTTTTTGTTAAACTGACAAAATCATTATTTATCATCGTGTATTTCAGACAAAAAAGTCCAGGTTATAAGAGTCATTGCTTTTATATTTCAAAATGATGTTAAAGTGTGTTGAAATCAAAAGCTTTTAGTCTCGTTTTACTTTTATAAAAGTGACAAAAAGACATTATTTTGAAAGGAAATGAACTCCTCAACTCCGAACTCTGGAGAAATAAAAATGTTTAAGAAACAAGTAAAAAAAAGCCTTATATTCGTTATAGTTTTCTCGGCACCCCGCCACACAGGGCGGGTCACCCCTATTGAGGCCGGGACCCGGTATGTTACCCGCGAGCTCCAGGCACCTGTGCCGGGCGGGAAGGGGTCCTACATCGCTAGTCTGTGTAATTCATTTGCCGGGAAAGATGTCGTGGTCAGCATAGTGTTGGAGAGAAACCCGTGGTGGACTGTGGCCCTCGGTGTGGTCAACTTTACTGTGACGGCTGCTCCAGTGTCAGGCTCTGTGGGTTTTTTCCCCCCAAATTTTCATTTTCTCTTCAAAGTCAAATATATTTATCAGACATTTCAAATTAAAATATATTTAGCTGACTTTTTGTAATTTGTATTGGTAGAAATGTTTAGATTGCAATTGCATATACGTAACTGAACAGCATTACTGATGTTTTTCCTAATTTTATTACTGTTATTTTTAACGTTTTTGCAATATATTTCTTTCAATTTGTCCAATGCAAAAAAAATTATTAAACGCGTAATTCCCAACGTTTCTTCTAGCTGGAAGCGACGGTATTATGCCAGAACTGGCCGGCTGACCAACCCAACCCTTCTCCTAACTGCACTGTCAAAGGCTGGAACGCCTCAAACGACCTCTATCTGAACACTATTGCGTCAAATGTCGGGGATGTTTCATTCTCCGCTATTGTCGACTTTGCCACGCCCGAAGAGTCTGCTAAGGTTGGTTATCCCCCCCCCCATTCTTGATTGTTTATGATGACATTATGGTTTGAATACATTGCTAAGATTTCCCTTTATTAAAGGTACTCTAAACGGTTTTTACCCGGAAAAATGAATTTTCTTTGCTAAAAGGGAAAATTTTCTGCTCACGAATCATTACTCGGCCCGTCCCTGCACTTGGGGTGCATTCCCAGAGATTAAGATCGATCCAGAGATTTAGATTTAGATCGACCTAACTCCATGGGGGTTCACGCTAAATTGCAGTCAGCCGAGCGCGCGCCATAGTTAATTACCTCCTTACAGCTTTTAGTAGGCGGGACAGACGCTTAAGCCGGCTAAGCTGACAGTAATCTAGTGAGACTCCCCACAGGGATAGATCAATCTAAAATTTATGGGAATGGGGTCTTGGATTCGGTGATCTATTCAATTTGTTATTCAATGGCTTAGTTCTAAATGAACACCGTGTCTTCCTGCACATTTCCAAAAGAACGTCAGGTCTGAGTTGTGTTTAGAATTGTCCAGCAAATTGAATGCTTAACTTGTCTGGAGAGATGCGACATAATTGAAATTTGTTGATGAGATTCACCCTTTTCAATGTAGCGGTAATGTGCTACACCATACTTTCGTGTGAAAGCATTCATTCTTTTACATTCTTTCAGGTGTTCACTTACACTCCGAAGACTGTCAACCTTAAGGAGCACCTGGCAGCAGGACCCGTGTACCTTGACCAAGTGGTTCACCTGGCGGTCCCTTTCAAAGTGATCTACGGCCAGTCTCTCACCCTCGAAGTCACCTTCTGCCCCAATACCCAGACCACCAATAAATACCATATAGACAGTACGGTGTTTGGGATGGGCAGCGACGACTCCTTCGCCCAGTACGTGTGCAAAATGCTCCCGTGTGATGACCATCAGGATGTTATTGCCAGCAATCCATACCAGCTGCCCCTGAACAGTGTCTCAGTGTCCACTACCACTGGGGATTTGACCACTCTGTATGTGACCGTAGTTGGCTGGGGAGGGGAGTATGATGACAGCGTGCACACATATGTGGGCTCATTTATGTACGGTGCGACGTTGGCAGTTCAACCAACAAACGTCCTTGAAAGGAAATTGAAATACATCCCATATTAGTCATGGACAGTTCCTCTCTACAACTTAAGGCACAAACAAGTTTTAGCTACTTTCACCACACTACATATTAGTATCTTTGATGAGAAGGAACAATCTGAGTAAAACAGTATTAAAATAAAAATGGTTTTTGGTATATTGATTTAATAGACTAAAGCCCCCTTTACACTGGACGGCGTCCTTTCTGCGTCCAGCAGTACGGCCCGTTTGAGAGTGAAAAAATAATAATACTTTACGTGCCAACAACTGGCCGATCATTGAGCATTCATTCTGCTACAAAGTCAATGCTCGTGCCTCCTTTTTACGACCACGGCGATGCCAATTTCATGGTCGCAGAAAGGAGGCAGAAAGGACGCCGTCCAGTGTAAAGGGGGTATAACTAAATTTTTAATGTGAAAAGCATGCAGATATTGTCTGTTTTTATAAATGTTCCAATTTTTTTCCGTTTATTTTTTTAAGATGGTAAGTGTGACCGACTAAAGTGAAGAAAGCATTAAACGCATTAAATTATTTCTAAAGAAAAAATTAATGGGCACTAAAAATGCCAATAAAAAAGTTTATTCTGGAGAGTGAAATTTAATTACAAACTGGCATCAGTCACAGTATCCATTGACCAGCAAATTCTACACTTGAAACGGGAAGGTTATCGATAATTATAAAATCCGTTGATCGAACCACTGAGTGTGTGGTATTGGTATGGTGTCAATACAGCAGGAGGCCAGAGCCGTCTCCTGGTGTTTAAGTGGTGGTCCAATAGCATTTGATAATTTTAAGACATTTACAGTAATTTATGTTATGTTGTGTCCAACATGTGATTAAAATGAATAAATATTGAAGGTAAAGAAAATAGTATTTCCCTTTCTTAAAAAAGTCCTCTTTGACACCGGCAAAATGCTGATATTCCATGTTGATATTTTAGCAAACCCAGTTATTCCTCTTTCTTATTGAAACCAGTCGGTCTCTATAACATAACTGTTATTGGAAAATGAGATAACCACACAAAAATCACGCCTTCTTGCGCTATTTACTGCAATCATCATCGATCAAACAATGCCCTTTGTTCATTGAGTCGATTTCCCTTTTTGCATTATCCTGGCATCGCGGATATAAGTCCATACAATAGCTGGGAGTGCTGACACAGCAAGATATCAATCAAATAAGTCAACCTTTTCCTTTTGATGCCTAGTCGCTTGTACTTATGAGAAATGATAGTTTCCGACACACTTCCCCCATATAGTCTTTTTCTTACGGCTCCGTTGCTTATGTCGTCCCTTGACAAATACATTTGATTCAGAGATTTAAGATCGGCGTCCTAATGTCTTTGTGCTCATGTGCAATTGATAGGAATTGTTTTAGCAGAAATAACAAAAGAGATTGCTGCCACCGGCTTGGAAAAAACGTTTTCACTAAAACATTTCCAGAATAGATTGATACTACCTTACAATATATTACATTATACTGCACTTGAAATACTTCTTCTAGGGATAACCGAATGTGCTTGACAGAATTTGAGGTAATGATCTGAGGACTGCTCTTAAACCGGGAGAGGATCGATACAGTCGATGACATCATATTGCATTTGAACATGGAACAACCGCATCCATCATCTTGCACAAGCTAGCATTTCTTGGTTTGTTGCCCACACGGACTCTTTTTATTCCAAAGTTTCGACATCTTTCGTAAATTGCAATAAAGCACGAAGTCAGACATTGGAGTCTGATTGAAAGATTGCGGAACTACAGTATGAATAATACTTCGTCAACTTTAACAGCAAAATCGTTTTGCTTTCTGGTGTGGCTCCTCGGATTATTTTGCCAGGAAGGTAAGTTTATCGAATTAAAAAAGCTTAAACTTTTTTCTTTAAAGTTTCATTGCTTTTGGAATATAAAAGGACTAGTGTTTGTTTATGATATCTTTAGTACGTATTAGTATTGGCTCGTAGGCATGGTTTTGATATTAAAAGTTAGCTTAAGACAACAGAAAAAAATGAAAGTCGATTGAATTTTCACAATTTTTTAGTTGGAACTTGTGACGTGCCATGGGAGCGATATGGACGAAATTGTTACAGATATTATGCATCAGTTGCGAACTATGATGACGCCAATGCTAACTGCGCGGCTGAGGGCGGCCACTTGGTGACAACAAAGACAGGGGATGTTCACAATTTTGTAATGGCACTAAGGTAATACATATCCTAGTTCAAAATGAAGTGCTAAAAATACTGACGGAAATTTTAATCCTAAAAACGGATTTTCATTATATTGACCTGATGAAAATTATGACTAAATATTAAAATTTATGAATAAAAAGTTTTACTCTGTGTAGATTACCATCGGCACCTTTTGGATCGTCAACAAACTGAAAACAACTCAGATATGTAAATTGATGCCAAGTGCTTCGTATCAAAACGCGGCTCTGTTTTGCCGGTCAGACGGAGAAACAAAACGTCTTTTATATAATTGTGGAAAATGCATGAGCAGAAGTCATGTTTAAAAAATTTATGGTTTCTGTGTGCGTATTTTAATAAAAATTAATTTTCTAATTTTGGGGCGTCCAACATTCATCTACTCCAATATTGCATTGATTTCATAGATTTCATTTTTATAATGGTACAACATATTAGTGACCATTGTTATCCAAGCCGTGTTGTTGGGTATTGCAGACCCTCAGGAGGGGACATGTGGATAGGGCTGAAGGATTTAACAGGGAATGCAATGACGATGGGCCCGGCCGGAGACTGGCAGTGGGCAGACGGTTCACGTGGACCATTAAATTGGCAGACTTGGGCGGCATCCCAGTTAGGCGGTGAGTACAAATATAACTATTACCCGTTATTTTTCTCTGTAAGATGCAAGGCTTTTTAGAAAAAGAACACAAACTTGTATATGGCATTTGAACTGATGTTCAGGGCATTCTCTTCAATGAACAGTGCGGCTCTTCTCTAAGAGTGTAAAAGCTAGCGCACGACATGAATCCCTCTTATCCCAATAACTTTTAAATGTTTTGAAGTCAATAATTGATACACGGCTTAGATTTACTACGAAAGAATTAAAGTGTTCTTTTTTTCACATCATTTCAGTTAATTAATTTTTTAAAAGAAATAAAAGCCGCTTTCTTACCACTTGTAAACATTTGTTCTTCGACTGCTGTCTGAACTGTGCTACTGATGTGTCTATATCAAGGTTTTAGCATGATATGCTACTGTAATCATGATGACGAAAAAGCGAAAAATTGTCAGTTTGAACTTTCCTTGGGTGGCACTGGTGGCATTGACCTTTAATACCATCACTGTTTCTGACATTTATTGAAACTATTCGCAACAGCAGGATAATTCATTTTAAGATTTTTTTTCTTGGTTTATTACTTTTGTAACATATCCTTCATCAGCTGCGTGAGGTCAACAATTACCCCTGGAAGCTCTGTGCAACGTTAAACATGAGTGTTGATAAAATTTCCCAGCTACACTTGACAAACAATTTTTCACAATTTAGAACATTCCAAAAATCCGGAATCCCTCAAATTTTACAATGTTCCAAGGATTGAAGCAATGCACTTGGTATGAAAATGAGACTTTAAGAAGCAAACATGATAAGCCGAGTATTGACAGCATCGAAATTAATTAATTCATTGAATATCTACAGTCGCTTTAAATGTAATATCCCATGTTGAATATTAACACTATGTATTTGACACTGCACTGAAACTTTTGGTTAGAATTTTTAAAGGGCGTTGTTCTTTTTTACTGTACTTTTAGGCTCGTGTATAAGTCAAGATGGAACGCAAGGGAACGACTGGCTAAGAAATTCATGCACATCACAGTTTGCATACATGTGTCAAAAGCCGCTAGGTAAGATATTTACTCATATGTACAGATTGTCATTTCAAAACAAAAGAGAGGAAATAGGTATATATATATTGAAACTACATTTAAAGCAAAAAATGTCTGCAAATAGTAACTCACTGAAAATACACGCAAAACTGCATTATTGAAAATTATGAATATTAAAAACCTGAGACAAAACCCGACATCAAGGGTAATTGAACTGCCCCACATTATTGGTTCGTCCGTTGTCAAAAATCTATAAAGATAATGTGTTACGATGGATTGCAATCCAGCGAAGTTGGATTTTTACTTTGGACCATGTGTTGCATTCATTGTAATTCCCTGATACTGATTTTTAGTTTATTTGATGTACATGTATGTCTCTCAACTACCGCAGTTTAAAACGAGAGCAACACGTAAGCATTTCTGCCGATGCGATCTTAATTCTGCTGATGCATACCGAGCATTATAACATATTACTGAAGATATCTAGAAGTGCTGAGATATGACTTGGGTCCACATACACGAATGTTAACATTTTATTTCTTCAGGTAATAATGATGGATTGTGGCGAAAAACAAGAACATCCAAACAGGCCGACTCGAACCTTTCTACCAAAACGGAGTATGCAAGTACCCTGACCGAGTGCGCCATAAAGTGCCTGGGCGAACCTTCTTGCATTGCCTTCAACATTGGGCCAAGTGTACTGGGGAGACACGAATGTGTTATGTTTGATAATTATGGCAAAGACGATAACCTGTACACTGATAACGATGACTGGAATTTCTATGAGTTTGTTCAATAATTTTATTGAACATTTATTTTTATTTTTCATACTTTAAAACTTTATTGGTATACCTTGTTTTCAAACACAATAAGAGTACGCATAGATACAGTTAGCTTCAATTTTTAATAAAACTGTCTGAATTTTTTGCATCTTTTTGTCACCTCAGTGATAAAAACTACATAGCATGCACCAAATATGAACAGAAATGTTCCATAATAATCCCTGCCGTCAGCACTGCAATTAATTTTCTGGCATTTACTCGTATCACAAACCAACATATGGATATTGTTTTTTGGTATGCCTTTTCTTTACAATCAGTGCAGTTAGAAAGAGAAAACGCACATTGAAATAAGCACTTGAGTAACACGTGCAGGAATACATCTGATATATAAAGTTTTACTGCATTTTAGTCTGCGGTAATCGAGAAGGCAGATAATTGGACAAGCATTTAATAAGTTAAATCGCCTTTATTTACAATCTGGTTAAAATTTATTGTCATTTAACTAGAAAAAATCTATGTTGTTTGGAGGGATGTCAAATAAGGTGGAGTTGCATGCTAACAGACTAAAACCACAGATTTTGCATGTTCAGCAGGTGAGTTGCAATATCTGCCAGTGTATTCTATCTTAAACCTGGCGCCGAAACAACACATTTCTAAACATAGTAGCACATGAAACACCACGCCAACGGGCATTCTTTCAGGGGTTCACAGAGTGTCAAATAGGGGTAAATTCAAAAGTTGTTTTATTTTTTTTTTCGTCCAGACTATAAAAGTAGGCTATTTTTATCAACTGAAAGTAGAACCTTATCCATAATGTATCATTCAACGCTCAATTTGGCAAATAACGAATACAGCGTATGAAATGCGAACGTCTGGGTGCATCACCTAAAGAAAAAGAGAAATGTTTTTTCAAGCTATTATTTCACCCTTGCGGACCGAGCAATCATTTAATTGGCCTCGAAATGACGACATTGGAATTAAGTTCACGTATGCATGCGTAGTTCCCATGTCAAACATTTATCTGTCTGTGCACCGAAGATATACCTTTGAAAGTGACAAAATAAACAAATAAGAACTACATTGGCAAATCAGGTTTTTCCTAGCATATTGAGAAAAGTGTGCACGCAGCAGTGCACCACTTGAGTAAGATGTTTATCAAAGTTCGTGCCCTGCGGTCAATTACCTGATGCTATGTTTTCAGATTTCAGAAAGTTTTTTGAAGAATAAGTGAGAGGGCATTTGCTCCAAGGTTGGAGCCATAAACCCACCAGGTTGAAACCACGTGGCTTTTAGATCGCTGCTGATGTAGCCACGTGGTAGCCACGTGATCACATGGTGTGCTTAGTGAACGGGAATTATTTTGTTCAAAATTGTGGCGACAAACTTCCAAATACTAATCAAAAGGACGGTTGTTTCTTGGGAAAAGCATTAAGGAGTATTAAGGACAGGGTGGGATATTGTATATGAAAGGAATCTCCCCTTTCTAGCCGACTAACTTTCAGAAATATAATACCTAAAAGTACCTGCGCACTTCAAATCACACGTAAAAATTGTAATAAAATACTTCCCCCATTTTCTACAGCTACGTAAAAGGTGTTCTGCACTTTGTTTGTGTGCGAAGTAAATGACCGCCTCTGAGAGAAACCACGCCATCAAACGTTCACTTTAAGACATACAGTCTAATTCAAACACGGTGCACGCGTCGGTCAACAGTCTCTGTGTGCTTAAGAACATCAGTACCAACACGTCTACAGTTGCACAGCACTACTTCGGCACATGTCAGAAACACATTTCGTTCCCAAATGAAAGAAGTACAACTGAATTGAAAACATGTTCAAGGTCAAAGACCTTAAGTCAATGTCCTAAGTTCACTCCGGTGTCATTTCAAAGCGTCGCCGTCGTTACAAAATTAGATTGCAGTTTCCGTAGTTTAAACAAGTCATCTTAATGCGCTATCTTAAGAAATGGTAATAGCCAATCTTTATTTTACACGTTATGTCTGTCTGTAATGATGTTTCCGACTCTTTCAATAGATATAGAAATAGAAATAGCTCGCGGCTACCTGTCAGCGACAAGAACTATTGGTATTCTTACACCGTTTAGAAATCTATACCACTTGTTAACGGTGTGCACACGTGTTCGAAAGAAGTGCACCTAAGTTCAGTAAGTTGAATACTGTCCATAGATCCTTCTAGTGTTCATCCAAAAACCTTAGTCAAAGTAAGTGAGGTTAAACATAACGAACAGTCAAAATTAAATGTTGATAAGCAATTACACGAAGTAAGACAAAGCCAATGACCATTGGAATTTTGATAGTATTACAATGAACCATGTTGGCACGGAAAGCTAACCTCTCTTATGCGCTGTATTTTGAAAAAGGTGTATAATCTGTATTCTAGCTTAATCATACATGATTTGACACTGCCAATTATTTCCACTCGAATCAATTTGAATATTTAAACATAAATACAGGTAGGCCTACCATTATGATTTTATCTCGAGGCACTGTGTTCTGATCATTGCCAACTGAGAACATCTTAATCAGATCTAGTCCAGATCAAATTATATTAGGTCTGCTTATCTAAACTCAGCTGTAATGCTTAAACAAACGATGCATTCGCATGACATTTCGCAAAAACCGAGACGAAAGTTGAGATCTAGCGCTTGATCACACACGGGGACATTCACGTGCACACGCGCAATGCAGGAATGTCGATGTCGGCTCTGCGTTTCATATCGATGTCCATGGTAGCCAGGCCAAGAAATTTGAGAAACATTTGTGGAAACAAAACATCCGCTGTGCATCAGCTGTCCATGAACCTGTTCAGCATTTTGTTAAACACTTGCCTAACTTGTTGTGCAGAACTTCTTCGACGTCTGTTTTCTATCGATTTTCTCCTTTTAACCTCTCTATAGACCTCATGGAAAGCTTCCAGTATGTCCTCACCCCCCTCACACGCAGAGGTTTCAAAAAATGCACAAGCCAGTTCTGACGCAAGTCTTTCGCCTTCCTCAGTTGTCACCTGTCTCTGGCGTTCCAAATCAATTTTGTTACCAATAATTACACAGCTAACGTTTCTAGCCTTTTTCACTTCGTCAAAGTATTGTTTTAATGAGCTGACTTCGTCGAAGCTCGACCTGTCTGTTACACTATACACTACGATGAAACCATCTCCCCACCGGATGTGTCCTTCCTTGTTTATGGGGTCGTCCTGAAACGTGAAATGTTTAAATTAAAAAAAAAAATTAAAAATTTCAAAAAGATAATATTCAAACAATTTTCACCCACCAGGGGAAACACAATAAACTTGTTACAAATGCTTGTCAGGACAGGCAGATTTTTAAGTAACTAACACAGATAAGACTAGAACCTCCGCCAAGGACTTGACATTGATAAATTGTGTTTGGTGTGACCACATTTATTGTGCGACATGTCAAGGTCATTGGTCATATCTCGTAATGCTAAAGAATCCTTTTTAAAATTTTGGATCCAGAAGATGATCCGAGTCACAGATCACCACCAAAACCTAATCACCCATTCTAACTTATCCTGAAAATTTGATCAAATTCTACCTGTAACTTTTTGAGTTAGGCAAGTGAAGAACGAGCATTAAAAAAACGGATATGAAAACTCAACCTCCTTGCTTGGCGGAGGTGACAATAGTTAACTTTAGTAAATGCTTCGATAACAATGATGAAAAGTGAACACTTACCAATCCAGCGGTGTCCAATATCTCCAAAGCCACGTTTTCATCATCTATTGTTGTTTGGTGTTTATACGTGCACTCTGCAAGTGATAAAAATATCTGTCACCACGGGCATTTTCCAAAAGAAACTGCACAGTTCACTAAACAACTGCTTATGTTTAAAATTTTGCAATATAGGTTGACATTCTGGAAGAGTCATGAATTAAGAATATCTAAGTCGACCCAAGTACAGTGGATGTATATTGTTTTTATCGTTATCTTTGTACTCATTAAAACTTTATTACGTGACTATTTGAAAGGATTACATGAAAGGATTCCTAGAAATTCGAATAAAACGCCTGGAAACCTTTTATACATAAAAAACGAAATCAAGTTGTTTTAAATAACCTGCCACGTTAGTGAAGTTTAAAATGCAATCAATTTGCTGCATGGACGTGAATAAAAACCGCAACTGTATTGTAGGCACACCTCTGGGATCACAGTGGAACTCTCTTACTTCAAATTTCACTTAAACAATCCGCTCTCAAACCAATACATTATTCCGATATGATATAATCGTCATCATTTGACACGCTATGCCCTCATATTCAACACCCAGCAAGACTCCGCACATCGCAACAACAAACGAATTACAACACCCATCTTAACCCAGTTATGTCACAACTAACACACTGTCACACCCAGGTATCATCATTACTACATATAATCGCTAGATTTACTCACCCAGTGTTGGGTCATAATCCCAGATGAAGCGCTTGGTCAGAAACCGGACGATAAGTGCTGCAAAAGATAACAATGTCTTTGTTACTTAGGGAACATAAATAGCAAAATAATTTAGTGATTGCCTCTTCGACTTGATTTAGAACCAACTTCTTAAGATAAAAATTACATAAACGGATTTTTTACTTTCGTCACTTTATTGGTAATGCTAAACAAACTGAAGTCACTATCGAATCCAGAACTATTATATAAATGTCCAAATATTTCGCTGAAAACTCGCATTTACGGATGTTATAAAATACGCAGACAGCAGCACCAGTCATGATTATACAGCAATAATGAACCTCTGCGGAAACAGCTTACAACAAATTGAGAATAACCACATACATTTCGGCAGTAATATTTAGGCGTCTTGACTTCTGTCATGCGTATAACAACAGAAATTGGCAAGGCTCATGAGAAAGTTAAACGTCCGGTAAAGAGGAAAAAATAAAACATATGGAGCACCTCGTGGCTGAAAAGGAACATATGAAGGTGTACTGACGGAAGGCTGAGGCAAATAAAGTCGGTGATGGCAGTTTTTGGCCCACGGCTTTTAAGCCCGTGTATAGTAACGTGGTCTGTCAAAAGGTGTTAACGACGAAGAGCGGGGACATGTGGTTAAATGGTCAAGTTATTTATATATAATATGTGTGTTTTATAAGCGCTGCAGCTTCCCATTATCTTACACTTAGAATAATCTAATTATCCACTTATAGCACTTCATCTAACTTTTTATAAGCGTAATCATCGCTTACTTTCTACTTGAAGACTGTCAGATGGAACTGACACGCTACCGTGAAATGCCGAAGACGCATGCTTCCTTGTAATAGGCTCTAACAACCTCGGCTGATTTTTAGGGATATGCATTTTTGCTAGTCTCTGCTGTGATCATTGGCAGTTCATCTTTCCGTTTAAAAATAGTGGTGCCAAAAAGGTTATACAATATCTAAGAATCCTTTTTATTCCTTCTTGAAAAAATTTTGGGAAGTACAGTTTAGGAGCAGTATTGAACGTAATACTGGCAAAAAATCAAGTAATTACAACTGTGAGTTATCTTTTTAGAAATCACACGCTGAAATAAGTGAGTTTATTGCTTTAGCCTTTTTTTTGCTTGGAAAGTGCACCCTAGCTCACGCGACTAGGAAGAAAACTCGCAGATATGAACCTGTATGAAAGCTGCCTATTATTAAAGTGTGTCAGCCACATCTTTCTTCTCGTGGATTTCAATACTTAGATCCTGTTCATTCGTACAAAATGCTATCTCTCTTTTGAAGTTGACACAATAAATTCTTGTATTTTGATTTAAAACACAAACCAGAGTGGCTTCAAACCTGTACAAGAGTTTTGAAAGAAAAGCAAGCTACATGTATCAGCTGGATAATGTGACCTATTCTGTACCCTCACGTTCACAAAGAGTTTACACTTGACTGTGTCCCCACCCCCACACACCACTGCTACGACACTATGCGCACGACACTTCTTCAAATATTTACGTTTCATAACTTATGTAATGAGAGATGTATCGGTAAAAAACTTAAGATTTGGCAGCAAGCAATGGTAGTTGTTCTCAGTACGCAAACCAGACTACACCCCAATCACTCTTTCATTTCCGCAGTCACCGTACTAAACCATTGACAGAAAACGGTATCACTGTTTGAATAAAAAAAAAGAAAGAAAAGAAAAAAGTGTGAAACGTGCTACCACCACAATGGTACATGGTGTAAATATGGCATTGCCGCAGGACAAACAAAATAGGTTCAACAAATAAAACCCGGAATGAAATTACCATCGAAAACAAAGGCGGTGAGAAAAAGGACCAATAATTTACAGTATATCGATGCCTGCTTCTTTCCGGATTCCTGGATATCCTACGAGAGTGGCACAGTGACTAAGCTTAAGCTGTTATCAATGTCTTACATGCCACTGTTAACCTATATTTCGGTATCCCCTAACAAAATGTCATAAGACATATCCAAATATATTTATCTCATCGGACGACTTCAATGAAACGGGAAAACCCTGGTCTGCGCGCCTGTATTCCTATAACAAGGAGAGATGAAGTTCGAACTTTCTTTATCGTTCGGTTTTACCAAGGAGTTAAAACAGATCTGTTGTATCTCCTTGGTTTTACATCCCGTAAAATAAAGACATTCCGCAGCACAACCTTGAACGTTCAACTATCAGCTGAGACCTTAGTTATGAAAGCTTGTTCTATGAGCAGTTTTTTCCTATTGCTACTGGCGCAGTAGGATCGTGTTATTTTCGACCTAAATCAGAGCGCTGTCACTGGGCCCTGGGAGAGTTTACGTCTATATCGAACTCTTTAATACTTATGCGCTGTTAGGTAAAAACGCACAGTCGAGGGTGCTAAATGTGATACGGTAGTTCCATGCTTAAATATATCTAATTAGCGTCCCCATTCACCCTGGGGTATCCAAATGCAGGTCCAAAGTCACGTAGGTCGCGGGTTGAGTATCTTTTTTTGAAACCAAGCAATTTTTAGTTAGAATTCGTGTATGAATTGGCTGTGTAAGAGTCCTGGTAGTGGTAGATTTACTTGTTGGCCCATGATTAACTGCTGGAAGTGTGCCAGATACGTACAGATAGTATGAGCTTGGCAAGACGGACGATTGAACATGAGGAACTATCTATTTATTTTGCAGACGTCCATGTCAGAGTAAAGGGTCACAAAAATAAATAAATAAATAAATAAATAAATAAATAAATGAATAAATAAATAAATAAATGAATAAATAAATAAATAAATGAATAAGGATACTTTTGATGTCGAGCTATTTGTGCACAGAGATCTATTTATATGTAGTGGTAAGACTGAAAAAAAAGCACTGCATGACTGTAGATATTTATTTCCCGTTGTTTAAGCTTGACGTAATTTCTTTCACCAGACACATTGTCCATATTCGTGGCACTGGAGTTCATGGTTGTGTTTTGGGTATACAGAAATTTTTTGAAAGGTTGCAATATTTTAAAGAACTCTGGGCTTTAATTTTGCTCACATTTCTGATTACCCCCCCCCCTCACCACCACCACCACTCAAGCCAGTGGGAGCTGCCCTTCCTTGATTCTTGATTGTCAATTACAGAGATTCCAATCACAGCACAAAAAAGCATCTGAGCTATGAGCTGGACACTGGCATTGTAGTCAACCTTAACGGCGTCGTCGAGTCTTTAAGCAGACAGAAAAAAGAGGGAACGATAGCTTAAGATATTTCAACGGTCACAGGCAGGCCCACTTTTTATGTTTATGTCATCAGAATTTATAGCGATTTGGAAGCAAATTGAAACCTGAGGAAAATAATTGAGGTGGAATACCTCGACAAAGAGGTTGGAACAAAGAAGTTTTTATGCGGTGAAAGGTTCGCCCTAATAATGCTAAAGTGACGTGCCACTTAATACTGAGTATGAAAAATCGGTTGCTTAATCGTTATATATGAGCGATAGTCAAGCGATTTGACCTTTCAACAATTTTAGGCCTACTTTATAATTTCAAGACCATTATTCAATTATCTATTTTATCATTTATCTTGTGTGAAAGGGGTACTGGGCTCTGCTTATGTAGATTTCACAACTACGTATAAATCCAGGAGATTTCTTCCATTTGACCAGCGGCCAAAGACGTACTCTACTCATATTAATATATTTAAAGCATTTTAACTTTTTTCGTTCTTGTATAGTCATTCATTTACAATTGCTACTTCATAGTGCACCGTGAAAACCTATACATTTGCACTGTGAATTTTCCATGCCTTTTTAAGCCTTTTTAATTTCTATAAACATTGAGGTATTCATTAAAAACATGTCCCCACAATGCTGAAAAATGTAACAGGAAAAAATCGGACGATAGATCCAAATATATTATAATTACTAACATTCGGACACAAAAATCTTTCTTGGTTAAAAATACACACGCTCTTCCGGACTCATGACTCGACACCTCCGAGGCAAGCATCTGAAAACAGGCCGTGTAAAGATAGTTGAGAAAGAAATACGACTTCCGCACATCACACAAATCTCTTTTCCATGTCTTCGTTATATCTTCCAGGAGAATTTTCTCAGAAAAAAAGGTCCAGAAAGGTTGAACTGCGGCGCTATAGATAGCTTGTTTTGTTGGTTCTTATCGCCCGTGCCGTGGCTGAGATCGTTGACTAATTGAATCGAACGTTTTGAGAACTCAATGAGCAGCTGTTTGGGGGAAAAAAAAGATATAGGTGATAGATGGGCTGCATGCACGGCACTCAGAACTGTATACAGTGCAGGCCAGGAAGATGAATCGACAGATCTTTAAAACAAATTAACCTGTGGCCTACGATGTTAGCCAGTCATGTTCAATATACAGCAGAACTTACCGCACTAACCGATAGAGTAACAACCAGAGAAACAAATAAACATCCACGTAAACGATGCAGTATAAATATATCATGATGAACAGCTCGAGATCATTGAGATACTCTGGGATCAGCATGAAGAAGGGTGCTGACCACATGTATACAATATCATAGATCTGTAGTATATAGGAACTATCGCATGTGTAGGCCTATACTGGGAACGAGCCCGCACCTGTTTTACAAAAAGGTGCAAAAAGAGCTCCTATATAGTGAAAACAACCCCAATCCCATATTTGCACATTTCAGTTCCTAACTTTCCTTCACTCTCTAAGTTTTGTTTTGATTTGTCATAATGAACTTAGTTTTCAGCATGGACCTTGCTTGTTGATAAAATGCCAATTAAATCCAGTACTGCCACTTATTTGCCAGTTTTCTAATAAATTTTGACTGTTAATTCCCTATTAAAGTATGAATCTTATCCCGACAACATTAAAAACAGCGTAGGCCTAACTAAACATGACTACACATTTAAGTTACACTGATTATTACCCTACCAGATTTCCCGACTCCAGGGGCCCCGACCACCACCAGCTTGGCCTCCGCGGTCTTGCCGTTCTTGGTCGTCATCATGTACGCCGGTAGCGGGGGTGCCAAGTGCACAGGCATGGGTGCGGGCTGGGCACCGCTGGAGTCACTGCCAGCCACCCTGTGGGAGAGAGGAGTATGCTCTGCGTCAGCGGGGTCCCTTGACGTTACAGTGGAGATCGAAAACTTCAGTGCTTCGCAAGCACTTGTTGTGGCTTTCCTTGTGGAATGTTGCACCTCCGTGTTAAACGTTTGCTAGATCGACTTCCTCTGGTTTATTTAAACGTAGGTCTTATCCCTCTTGTTTTGTCTCAGTTTTGATCCAACTGTCGTGTCAGGTGCATCGATAAGTGCTTTATGTATACAACAGCCTCCTGTTATTCTTTTCCACAATTTTAACTTTTACACAGAATATGCAAACCAGTGTTCATCCGGGTAGCTGTCAGAGCTCGAACTGCTACATGTGCCTAAAATGAAAGAAGCAAACAGTGATTTAATAGTACAGACTCGACTGGTAAAGTGAAAACACTCTTTTTTGCTATTCCTGTACACAACAAGTGAACTAGCCTACGTTGACTCAAAAAAGAAGGGCAAGTTCAGATGCGTGGTCCCGTATATTGTTCAGCCACCTCCGTAAAAGTTCACTTTTCAGTTCAAGTTGGCGTATTTTACAGATGTATACTGAATATTTCTTTCTCTTGTTTTTTTCAGTGCACTTGCCTTTTTAATAGCGAGTCATACATCAGAGTAATCTGCTAAACACCTTATTCTTTCCCAGTGTTTAGCGAACTACCTCCTCGGCTCTCTGTTACTTCACTTTAATATCGTGCACACCTACCACTGCAAGCTCGAATTAACGCTATCCTTTATCAGGTAGGAAGTGGGCATAAAACAGCATGTTTACCTTCGCTCAATTCATTTGAGTGCTGTCAGCTTGTGAATGACAGAAACAGGGGGCTCGCCAAGTTAACAGAATCAGACTTGATAATAAACCGCTTACCGGCTGTGGTGAGTTACGAATACGTTTGTAAGATATGTTACCTCATTACTGCCTGACTTATAAATATTCAGTGTCACTGAGTGAAATAATATAACCTCCCTCTGAACAACCTAAGTCGCTAAAATTTACGTCCAATAATTATCGAATGATTTAATGAGGTTCATCTACATACACTGTAATTTTCACTCTCCTTTTCACAAACCTGGAGGGGTCTGATTCCATTGCCATCATTCTTTATCATTAGCTCTTTTTTTTTATGAATTCTTAATTACATGACCTGATAACAGCCCGAACTTTACCTTGCAAACAGGAAACAAGAAGGCACTATCATAACTGGCAAACATATATCGTATTTATTTAATGCTCTTACCAAAAGTTCAGTTAAATTCCTATAAAAATCAAGTAAAAAAAAAAACTTTGTCGTTTACATGCACTAAGATTATTTTAGAGTGTTTTGTACTAGTTTGTCAGTGAAAGTGAATGCTATCTATTTCTTTTAATTAACAGAAGATTTGGATGATGGATTTGGGGTGAAGTTATTATGGTTTATTTACAAGCCTTCAAATCTTCGTTATCCTGCAATGCTCTCTGTTTCAAAGTCAACACATTGCACTGTCTAAATTGAGGCGTTCAAAGGGGGCCTTCACATGGGTATTTAGTCTTTCTTGTATGCCTTGGTATGTGGTTAGTGCGGTATCACTTTTAATGGGATTTCTTTTTTTTTTTGTGATGGCACTTGCTACGTAAGATGATATTAAAGATCAACACATTAGTAAGTTTGCTAGGGTGCGATCGGAGGCATGGCCACAAAAATGGCTTCAAATATCTGACAAGCTCATTGTTTCAAGTTAGCATCTACATTTCAGGAATTAACAGAAATTTTTCGTAAGTTCTTTTAAGGTGCGGGTTTTACCATGATTCCCGTTATCCAGCCCCCCCCCCCCCCCCCCCGAATAAAAGAAATAGATAGCATTCACTTTCAAACTTGATATCCAATAATGTCCTCTAAAGGTTTTGAAAGTTAAATCCAACGAGTTAAAGGTAAAACAGATATCATATGTTTGGTATTACTTTTGAGTTCGGGCCCTCTATCTAATCGCAGAAATTCGAGCCACTGACATTTTTTGGATGATATAAAACAAGACAAAGAGGCCCTGTAATGTTTTCTCCGAACTAATAGCGCAAGGACAGACGTTTCTTCCGTCAAACGACTCCAGTTTCTTTCAGTGTTGGAGTCTTCTGTGTTTGAGATATAAATCTTAGTCTGCGGAGACAAAAATCCATCAGTCTGAAATGGGCCATTTGACAAATATTGAATGGGTGCCCCCCGCCCGCCCTCGTCTCCGCACACATAAAATGCAACCACCTATGATATGACGTCTACGTGAACTAACATGACTATTTCTACTACAGCAAATACAGAGATTATATATGTACTGTCAATATGGGAGGACTTGACAATATCAGTAGATCTACTGAGGGACAAGTTACCAAATCTGTTGAAGAACGACTGAGTTGCGATGTTATGCAAAGAATACTTTCGTTGTGTGCGACAGACGCATAAAACTAGATTTTTGCACATTTTTTCCTTATCAAGTTGTCGATGTTTTCTTTACGTCATAATGACATCAGTTATCTACCATTTATGTCACATAAATCTATTCTAAAGGAGCGATGGCAGCTACGGTGCTCTCAGTTTTCCAAGATTACATTTTAATAGGCCATTCGGTCACCTTTTTATTGCGAAGAAAAACTGGAGAAGTTGCGTAACTTCTTGGTGAAGTATATCTATAATGGCTATTAGGACTGAACGTAATCGTAATCAGTGAGTTGTAAGAACGAAATTTAGTCAACAATACTGACGAAATTATAAGTATTCTAAAAGGCGATCTTTGTAGAATGCCTGCTCTTCTCATAGAGAGAAAAAATGATAGGGTTTTATTTACTTTCCATGTCTATTTATGTTAATGTAATTAGTGAAGACCTGGTACACGGTGTTGAAAAATGCAGGGCGGATGCTTCATTCCAGTAGTTTTAAGACATATGATGCTAAACACACATTAGCGATGATTGGTAATCAGAGTACACGCAACGTATTTTCCATGCCCGCAATCTACAAACCAGAATACTCCAATATTTTAGGAATCAGAGATAACCAAAAGCATGGGAGCATCCTCACACGGGCGTGTTATTCTGTTGCGAGTGTTCACTTGAACCTCAGTTGATTTAAGATGAGAAATAAGTCAGAGAGACACACGTTGCCTAGTCTCACGCAGTCAATGGAATTGACATTAAGTATCCCTGTTAAGAACATGAATAAGGAGGGAATAGAAAATAAACTATAACGAGATGATCTACGGGCAATGAGGCTAGGTCTGCTTGAGGCTCGCACATTTTATAAAAGATTTAAGCGTCCGGTTTCCCTTTGGAAAAAAGAAGAAAGGAAGCTTAGCCTTTAACTGCAAGGAAGTGAATCCTCCCTAAATCAGTCCACAGACTGCGACCATATTGATCTTGTAATATTTTGCATATGAACTTGGAGAGGACAGTGTGTGTGTTTAGGTGCGCGGTAGCTACCAGTGCACTGGCACCACAAAGATATACCTTGGTGCACGTGTCAACACATTTAATTAGTGAACTTTCCTTTTGAATAATTTGCACTTGGCATTTTGAAGTTTAATATTTACGTTTCGAATCGAAAACCATTCTTATGATTTTCCACGTTTACGAAGAATCAAATTTGAAGTGTTTGTTTTAGTGCTTCGTCTGGATGGGCGGTATATATCCCGGTCCTTCTCGGTTCTAAAATAACTACGCTTGCCTAAAATAACCAGAACATTATTTCCTAATTTTGTTTATCATTAAAGAAGAACCGAGAAGTGCAGTCCTTAAATTTTCTGCTTAATTGGACAATGTGGTTAAATCTCATGGTTTAAAGTCCGTGAAAAGCCTTCTCAGAAAAGCACACCAGAGAAGGAAAAATATGTTCATTCAAAATCGTTTATAAAAGTTAAGGAATTCTTAATTAGCGCGGATCATTGCATGCATGTATTTGAACAAGGCACGGGATGACCATAGTAGAATTAAAAAGTGTTGCTTTTTCGGGTCTCCTAGCAACTTAATGTCCCTCGTCTGACTCCAACCGAAAAGAATGCTTACTTATCATATGTTATATTTTTACTTGAATTGATACCACAATGCTCGGTATACGAATTTCTCAAAATTCACTTCTGTACTCTACGGGAAACCCGTGCCCCTTGCGACCAGGTAACCGAAAACGATAAAACCATATGTCTGCAATTTCCACTGAGGTCGCGCCCTCTCAGAACTTAAAGAGACCCCACCAGACCCCATGAGGTATTAACTTCTCATCAAAACTCGCATGGTAAAACTCACACGAACAGATACATTAGAGTGATCAAAGAATTTTATTCATTGCTGAATATAACGGTGTAATTTTTATTCAAACAGTGGAATACTCTGACGCAATAAATGACAGGCATTTAGGACACACTCCAGGAAAAGTTTACACTTCAGAAAGAATCAGACGTGGTAACCAAACTTAGTAGACCTGCGAATTAAGAGGTTATCTGCGTGCTTACCAGAAACTATACTTTGCGCAGAGTGCATGCTAAGCGCAATGTTTTGAGGACAAATGAAAAAAAGTCGTGTTAAAAGTGTTAAAAATGACAATTTTACATGAAATCCTTGGTACCCGCAATTCCTTATTAAACTTTGTGTTTTGGTAAAATTAAGCGTACCCGCCAACATCGGAAATTATCAATAAAAGGTTTAGTTTTTGTTTAATTGGACGGGGGGATTCAGAATTTTTTTTCATTACGTGATCTGAATCCTATATTTTATACATTTGTATTGCAATAACAGCACTCATTCCAAAGAGAAGACGACATAAAGAATATAGTTTATCGTACTATATCACTGCCATCATGGTGAATACAGACTTGAGCTCATGTGAAAAAAAAACTCCCCTATAATGTAAATCTGTTCTGACACTCGACTAGCAGCTCCTGTAGTCAGGGAGGGCAATGTTTTTCCTTTTATCTTGCTGTTGAATTAAAGCCAGTTTAATAATCGTTCCTTTGTACAGCTTCAGTATACAATGTTTGCTATTTTCATATTATATAGGTTGCGAAAAAACGAGTTTACGTACGAGGAATCCAAGATAAAAACAGTTTTCTCTCGGACCAAACGAAATTCAGACACCAATCTTAACATGCATTTAATTTGGAGAAATGTTTTGTATTGACGTCAATTTAACCTGATTTCGCAATAGCCAGTCCAGCAAGGTTACTGCCACAATAATAACAACGTGCGTCCAATAAGGAATCCTACCTCAGCGACATCTCTTGTAACAACTTGTAACAAACAGGGTAATGTCCTCTTAGCTATCAATATATCAGGTACAGGAGTCAATTCTCTTCCCTTGCTTCACTTTCTTTTTGCGTAGAATTAGGGTCATTTTGAAAATGAAATTAAATACACTTCTTCCTTCTAAATTCTGCTTTTCTTGTTGACTTGCCCGGCCATGGGTCGCTCGGGTTAAACGGCGGGAGTGAAGGATGATTGAAATCCCCTGTGGATATGTATCGAAATAATTAAATGACAAACCTCCGGCTCCAGTGAAATAAACGAGTTGAGATTTTTAAAACACTATTGGTAACGTTTTGCTTCAAATACCATCGGTTCCAATGGGCTGTTTTCTTTTATCTTGTTTATCATATTCATGTTTGTTCGAGTACATCTGCCAAAATTCTATTTTTCCCACTTGCCCCGATAAATACCTAAATTTCAGACGCCACGTATTTGGCCACGAGCTTAAGTCTGGATTAACGCGGCGAGCAACAAAACGTGAGGGGGCCTAGAGATTGGCCGATTCCCCAGTTTTATCAAATGAACAAGAGTATCTCTATTTCAACTCAAAATCACGATATAATAGGATTTTATAGAAGTTAAGCTAGCTCGTCCTTAGCGAGCTGATACGAGGACGTAAATACCCAATGTAATAGGTGGAGGATGGTAACAGCTAACTCGGTATTGGGTTTAAGAAGGTTGAATCGGTGTGTATCACCAACATAAGAGAAATGTGCATGTCAGGTAGATTAATGAAAAACAAATAGGGGCCTACTAAAAGATATTTGTTACTACATGTATGAGTCATCTCCTTTTTCTCATTGAACTATTTCAGCAGACATTAAATCTGCGTAACGGAAAATTGAATGAGAAATATGTTTGTTGTGGGTACGCAGACACGTGACGTTTATGTGCGAACTGTTCAGTAAGGTCTGAGTAGTGTTAATATCATGTGACTGGTCACTTGAGTAGTGTTATCAAATAGAAGGTGATGAGGAAAAGTAGATTTTAGAGTTAGGTCATTCGAAGGCTCTTTCGCATTCCGTGAAGATGGCAGAGAATATATATATAATTCCCTCCCACCCACCCAATTTGAAGGAGTTTTACTTTATAAATTAAAAGAAAAAGTGTGTTAAGCTTGTTTGTTTGAATAAATATATTTAATAAATAAATACGAGATATAATAAGTAAAGATTAGAAAGAATAGAGAAATTAGTTTTAGTCTTAGTTCAAGCTTTTCAGTGTTATACTTATTTCGTAACAGAACGTTTTAATTTTTCAGCTCGGATCCTGGTACGGCAGAAGACAAAGCAAGATGGAGTTTAAAAAAAAAAAAAAACTCAAGAACTGATCATTATCATTATTATTTTATTACACTTTTAAAAGACTTGTTTTACATATATTTGTTTTAATCACTTTGTTCAAAGTTTGGTTCATTAAAATAATAATAATAATAATAGCAAGGATATAATTATGGTTTTCAATGTTCAACAACGACTGAATTTATGGCAATTCAAACGGAAATAAAGCACACGGAACGAAATGAGATTAATGAAAAACAAATAGGGGCCTACTAAAAGATATTTATTACTACATGTATGAGTCATCTTCTTTTTCTCATTGAACTATTTCAGCAGACATTAAATCTGCGTAACGGAAAATTGAATGAGAACCACACTTTATAGTACGTTGTTTCCTTTATAATGTAGGCTATATGGTAAATCCTGCCATACACCTAATCTATTCATCTTGAAGGGAATGTTTTCAATACCAATTCAACGTTCAACGACAACGAAATATCTGAGATTTTAGTTTTTCTAAGATATTGGTTTTCACAATAGCAAATCGTTTGAAAAACAGTGAACTCAATAAACATGTCCCTGTCAGAAATACAGAAAAACCATGATCCACGACATTAATGGGGTATCTGGACAACTTGAATGCTTCCGTTTCAAAAAAAAAAAAAAAAAAAAAAAAAAAAATATATATATATATATATATATATATCAGAGAGATCTAGTACTGGACGAGGTTGGGTATTGCCTCAGGTGAGATAATGATTGCAGTCACAATTTGTCAGCTGATTTGTTACTGGTGAGAGACGGCATCGCGTTGAAATAATAAATAAATAAATAAATAAATAAATAAATCATTAAAGTTGCTCACCCGTCTCAAACAGACGTCCAAATTTATAAATTGAATTGCATATATGAATTTTGAGTGACTATCCTGTGACTCAAATATTCTCTTTAAATGATGTCACTATTGTTTACGGGGTATTCCGCCTCAACCTCTGCCTCAACTTCAACCTCAACCACACACACACACACAATAATATAATACTAATTTTAAGACTTATGTTGACCGTTTTTATTCAGTAACCAAAATAACATTCATGGAATTAAAGTTATGAGATAAAAAAACATGTATTCGTATTTCGCAACGTCACAATATCATGATATGATAGAAATTGATAAATTATTCAAATCAACATAAAGACATACAAAACGTCCTTCACATCGTTCACGGAATATACAAGTAGCATTCTAGTTGATAGTTGTCACTGGCGTTCAGGCTATCACAGCCGTTCACATGGAAAATCTATTTTCTAAAAATCTATTTTCTATTCGAGGTATCTTGTAATCACGGTCCCTGTGCCCCGTATATCCCGAGAATTAATTACAGCTTTGGAAGTAACTGGCTCGCGCCGCCAGTAATTACGCCGCGGGATATTCAGGGCACAGGGACCGTGATTACAAGATACCGCGAATAGAAAATAGATTTTTAGAAAATAGACTTGTCATGTGAACGGGACCATTCTCGGGACCGTTCTCGATCTTGCGTTGTTTTGTATATATCATATGTATGATACCGTGGCGTCCGGAATGTTGACAGTGCTTCGGAACAAATTGCAGGAAACCACAAGGACCGAGAAGTTTGGTACAAAACGTGCACGACATATGAGCCCTTGTATTTTCCGTTTGTGTCATCAATCTGAACACAAAATAAGTTGCCGTGCACCGGTCATAGACTCTACCGGTTTACTATCTAATACACAAGTGTATTCGATCTAAGTAGCTTAGGTCATTAGTTTCTGTGAGTGAGACTCTTTTTCTCTTTTCAGCATCTCAACAGGTATGTCGTCCCATTGGAGTTAAGAGAGAGCGAGTGAGCAATCAGTACAACCACAGCATCTCTTGTGCCGTATATGAGGAAGGTCTCTCTTCAAACGCATCTAAATCAAAAGTAAACAAAAAATAGCATTGAATACGTTTACAAGGATTACACTCATTTCCATAAGCAGATTTAGTTAACAATGATGATAACTGATAATTATAGATTTAGAAATCTGTAACACATTGTTTATAGGAGAGAGAGAGAGAGAGAGAGAGGGAGAGAGAGAGAGGGAGGGAGGGAGAGACTAGCAGTAAAAAGTTAACAGATTTAGAAATTGACAAACGGCGAATTAAGCTTTTCGCTAAGAGATGATTTCTTACCTGTTTCTTCCCTTCGTTTGCCTCTGCGATTTCGCAACATCGAACAACACAGGGACAAACTAATAAAAAAAAATAAATAAAAAATAATAATAATAATAAACGCTAAGAATAAATTTCATATTTAAAAATAGTGAATTGTACAAGCATATTACTAGATCTACTTCATTAGTACATTTGTATAACCTAGGATCCAATATATTGGATCTCAGTACGTATAACCTTCCACGATTAACATATTAGTGCATAAAAAATGTGCTTTATTTCTTTGTCTTTTTTAAAATATAATAATTCACGATCAGTTATGCCAAACTCACCTCTCCCAATCAGGCCAAAGTCTGGAACCCCTGTCAATTCGGCTGACACAGAGGAACACAGCACCAGAGCGATGAAAAATGTTATCGTCAATAAACTCTTCATCTGAAAATAAATGAAGATAAACAAATGTGTTACAAATAGTTATGCTTATTGCAAACAGGGTCGGATTGAGGCCGTCTTCTGGGTCTTCAGGAAGACGGTCAGATTTTCAAGTTTACAGTAACGGGTATCTAATTTTTGCTGTCGGAAGACGGTCAAAAATGGGGCATGGATCAACAAAAATAATTTAGAAGACTGTCAGAAAATATCTCTGGATCCGCTGGACTGGCTAGACTAGGAAAAATCGACAATATAAAGCCGTTTTGTCAGTGTTTAAAACATATTAACTGTACGATGTTATAAACATCAAGCATACCTTACCTTGTCGTTTGTAGACTTTTCGATTCAAAACTAGAAGTAAGTGTCCGGTGGCAGCAGGGACCAGGCTATTTATGGCACCTTTAGTTCCGGGTGTCCAGAAATACACCCCATGAGGATTGTCCGTGCTCTCTGCTAGACTACAAAACAAGTGCACGGGAGTGGAGCGAACCCGGAAGCAAATTCACCATAATAAGGAAGAGCCATTAATTTTAAGGCGTGACTTGAAATTTTAAAATTCTAAATCAAAATGAGTTATGACACGAAGTCACATTAATAGATATTGTAATGGCTAATTATAAGTGATGGCACGGATTTCCGGTAAGCGTCAGGATCCCAGATCTGCCAAACAGTTTTAGCGCTACTGGATAATTATTATATCATCTTCTTGAAATATCTGTTGTTTAATGTTATATATATATATTAAAAAATTTTTTTTTTCACCAATACAATTTTTGAATCAGATTTTCTTGACTGCTTGACTGACAATTTAATTCAATTTTTTAAGGAACAATCAATAAACAAATGCACAAACATCATTGTAAAACTTCTTTTTAATGTCTCTCATTCACCTTCTTAAAAAGAAAACATTACAACAACATCTGAATTATACTTCTTTTTCTTTCATACAAGGCAATAAATATAAAATAATAATAATTAAATTAAATTAAAAAACTAGGACGGATGCATAGGTAAATATAATTTATCTTCCATTCTGTAATAGATAAATATCTCTGAAGAAAGGAATATTTTTTTTCAAAACAGAATAAACCATTTTCTTAAATTCGTAAATATCCACCATCAACAACCATCCATATTTTTGTGACAAATGTTTACATTTTAGCTGCTATGTATAAATATTTATAAAATATACCAGTAGTACAACCTTGTCTTCAATATTCATTTTCAACACTGATGTAAAATACAGGTACAGTTCCTTGGTGCTTAGTAATGTAGGAAATGGAAGTCTAAGGCTTAACTGCTCTAAGATGTAGAGCAGCATTAGGCACCAGTCCACATTTTTCAAGTGTTGCACTGTTATCATCATATACTTTATTAGGATAGGCTGTGAGGATCTTGTAAGGTTCTGCACCACGTGGTCTGTAATTGAGAAAAAATGGCTGCATTTTCCTTGCATGTACAATAAAAATATGTTATCCCTGTACATGTATTATCATACTGATGTGTGCATTAAATTGGAAAGAACACGAAACATAACCACAAAAGGGTCTTTATTCAGAACTACTTGAAATGAGTGATGGTCACTTCCAGTGTTACACTTCCTTGTAATACAGTAGACAAAATTATAATAATATATCCTGATCTGATCCGCACAGAATACAGCACCACAAGATCTCACCTCTGATTATCCAGGTATTGCCTCACTTTCCCTATTGTGTCTGTTGATTTCATTTTCAGGATATAAGTTTGGTCCCCAGACTCAGATTTTATCCTTAATGTGGTGAGATTCCTGGCAGAAGGAGGCCTTGAAGACTGGTCCATGTCCAACCTAATATTATATACATACAAGTATATATACAATGGCAGTATATATAATTATCTATTTATCTTAAAATGTTTAAATGAGTTATTATAGTTGACTTCACTATTACAAATATATATCAGCTATTAAACAAGACACTTATATAATGCATTCATCATATTTTCAGCAATACTCATGTGACAAAAAAGAAAAAAATAGAAAAGCACTCAGAGTGCGCAGACCTCGGCCAAGACAAATAACTTATATTTAACTATAAATCAATTAATGGATCATCACCAAAGTCCAATCACTTTTAGTTAGCCCATGTATCCATAACTTTTTGAGTTAAGTTGGTAAGGAACAAACAAACAAATGGAGGTGAGACTTCTCTGACATCTGAGACTTATCAAGACATCAGTGAAGAAAAAAAACAAACAGCTCATAGAATCAATACACACCTTTCTTTCATTTCTTTTACAACATCTGTTTCCACTAGAGTGACACTATTCTGTTTGTCTTCACCCTGCAAAAAACACTTCAAGGGTTATCATCTAAATCTGAGAGCAAAATATTTATATTTATAATCTTGCTATATTTAGGTATTTGCAAAGAACAGCCTCTTTTTCAAGGCTTTGCAGAAATATTAATGTACACAAGTACTAGATTCATTTAAAGCCAACAAGCAGGTGCAGTTAAAAAGAAGTTTACCAACTTCAGAAAAACTGGGCTTGTATTTTGAAAATTGTATATTGGGCCTTCACCTTGCCTCCCACTGTATTTGCTATTGAACCTCTGATGTCTATAACTTTCCCATTCTTGATGACATTCTGAGGCAAGCGGTGCAAGAACTGGTCTACTGTCAGTTTAGGGCCTAGGAAAAGCAATGGTCGAAAGGAAAAATTTAACAGCAATCAAAACACTTAGCACTGTAAACTGTAACTGATATTTGAAAGTTGTGAAGGTTTTGTTACATGTAACACACTGGATAAACGGACTGAAATTAATAGTCATGCATTCAAAGTCGATTTCATATAACTTGGTATTTGGAAAAATCTGATATACTACAGTTCAAAAGGTTAAAAAATACAACATGAAGCCACAATCAATATTTCATCTCCTATATATTTTCCAGTTACTATCAAATTTTTTTTACCTGGAACTTCAGATTCCTCTATTCTGTTTTCCTGGTGCTGTGCCTTGGTGGTGTTTGTTGCTTTGTTAATGTCCTGTATATTACTAGGTACCAGTCTGGATGGTTTGGTGTCTCCCCCTAGAAGCTGACCTGTGCCTTTAAACACATCTGTATTACGCTTGTCTTTAAAGTGGACATTTCTCTTATCTGTGAGCTGAAATCGGCAAAAATAAAAATATCAATACCCATTATTGAACACATTCGCTGACATTTTTGACAGACAGTTTCTGAAGACATTTTCATGTATATATTTAAGGTTATAACAACATTATACCAAGCACCTGCTTTGCACTCACAATAAATGGCACTCCATCCGGGTACCTAATCTGTAACTCCCCTGGGAAGTAGCCGTCCATGAGGTCCTGTACACACTGCTGGGTCAAGGGGTCAGTAAATGGACGGAAAGGACCACTGAACATCAGTATACCATTAGCATACAGGGTCAACTGGACTGGGTCTGGGATCTAGGGAGACAGTGACACAACACATGAAATATTTGAATAAACTGATTATTATCAAACGATGAAATATCCTTCTTACTAGAGATATTATGAATGCTAAACCAAACAAATTGAAGGTGCTGAATTTCGATTTTAATATTAAAAAACTTAAGCAAGCTTAAAAATCATTTCAATGTCAAATAACATGTTCATACATTAATGATAAATTTCAGAAAAAAAAGTAAAGAAAAGCTGTAAGACTTCACAAAATTGTCAGCAAAACTTATGTATATCACAAAAAATCAAAAAGTATTAACAATATATTAAATAATATAATAATGAAGTTGAAATGGACTCTAATCTGCATTTAAATTCACTTCATAGTTTACCTTGAGTCTTGCTCCCCCAGTTGTGTGTTGTATCTTAGCTACTCCTTCCCCTGCAATAGCATTTAGCTCATTGATGTTTTCCACAATTAGGTCATAGTCCACCTTAAATTCCTGATTACTATAGGAGGTCTCTGAAATGTATTATATTTTTATTATCTGAACATTATATATTCATTTTTTCCTCTAAATTATCTTTACAGCACATGTACGACTTTCCAAACACGTCTAAAAATTCCACTTCTAATGAAGTTCTTGAAAATGTATTTTAGACAGTGTATTTCAGAAAATGTTTCAATATCCAAAATTTTTTATTCTAGGTATGTTTACAGTCACAAATCAATCCTCCTTGACTCTGTACCTGGTCTCCACATGGAGGTAGGTTCATCTGAGTCTGACATGGCATCAAAGGCCTCATCTTCATCATAATACTTTTCACTATCTGGATTACTTTTATCTCCAACCCACACCATACCATAGTCCATCAGGAAAGCCTGAAAGCAGTGAAGAAAGAAAGCTACTTACTGAAAATACAATCAATTCTCCTGCCATAAAAAACAGTGCCTATTTTTAATTGTAAATTGCTGAACATTAAGCATGATTCATTTACAAATATTAACCATATTTTGAAAATACGCAACACCCTTTTCTTAAACAACTATACATCTAACTATCAGCATAAAAGTATTCTAAACAAAACTGTTTTAATCTTACATCCATTTCATGTATTTGCTGCTGCAAAAGCAAACATTTCTTCTCCAGCTCTGCTACACGGCCAGGCTTGTCATCATCTGAATGAAATAATTAAATTAACTAAACAAAACGGGTATAATATAAACTTCAAATAAAAAGTCTCCAAACTGTCAAACCTGAACAATTACTTTTACTAATTTACGATGAAAAAATAATCATGAATGGATAAATAGTAATACAATCTTTTACCAAGGAATTATATAATTCCTTGCCTTTACCATACATTAAGTTTTCTAACATACTTTTTGCTTTCTGGAGGATCCTTAACTTGTCTTCCAAAATCTTTATCTTCTTCTCCTGCAACAAGGAAAAAGAATTTGATTACTAGTACATGTACTAATATTTAGAATGGTTGTTGACAGATTGACTGATTCATTCTCTCTCTCTCTCTCTCTCTCTCTCCCCCCCCCTCCTCTCTCTCTCTCTCTCTCTCTCTCACACACACATGCATGTCTTCAACTAAAAGAAAAACAATGCAACTGATACCTTTTCATTTATTTCCTTTGCTTGGAATTGAATTTTCTGCTCCATGATTGAAATCCTGGACATCATAGTGGCCATTAAGTCCATGTCTGAGGGAGCTGAAGATAAAGCTGAGACATTGTAATTCATTTAAACCAAATTGAGTTTTAAAAGAATTTTGGTGAACTTGTCAGATAGATATTTGGGCCAGCCATGTGTTTTGGAAAATAAATAACTAACGAGATCCAATTCAAAAATTAAAGCATGAATAAAAGTATGAATAAAAACCATTTCAGGCTTCATGTAAGTGTTTGTACACTACTGTCTTGAAAGCACATGTATTGAAAGCAGCACAATGCTACACATTGACACACTGTTTTATCACTTACCTGAGACAGTCTTAGTAGGTTTGGAAGTTGTGGTGTCTTTCAGCTTTGGCAATCCTCCACCAAATGGATCAAGTCTTTGTTTGTTTTTACTTGTGGATATGTTTGTAGTAATTTCTTCCAATAATTTAGACTCATCCTCTACAACAAACCATACTGATTATTTGTAATGTTACTTTTTAATGAAAAATTATTGATAACTACATTTGACATTCATTTTATCTGCATGTATAAATTGATAAATGCTATTCAAATTAATTTCACCAGTTTTCAATTATCAAACAGACTGGAGTTCAGGCATCTGTTACCTGTATATTCTGGGTGCCTGAAAGGCACATTTCTTGATCTGAAGAACAAAATTTACACATGTAAATGTATGATATGTGAAAATATATGATGTGATCATGTGAAAATATATGACATAATCATCATATTGTTTGGTAATTTAAACAGTTAATATTTGGTGGAAGTGACATCTGCTGTCCAGTTGGGCAGACATGCAATACTGTTTATTTTTTCATGCTTGACAAATGTACAGTACAGAAACACGCTTAGCTTCAAAGCACTATAGCGGTACTTAACTTCCACCCATACAGTGCTACTGGAAATGACAAAATCATGCACAAAAATCATACTTTAGAGCTAATACTTTTTAATACTTATTTTTTTATTTCATTTTTTAAAACTGAGTGCTAGACATGATACACGTACAGTGTACTGTACAATGTAGGGATGCTTGTTAAATAAACTTTGCACAATACAAGTAGGTCGATTCTCAAACTCAAAACGAATGAAGAAATGTCCATCATCAATCTGGCCTTATAGATAAAAAAGCTTCTACTTTTTTTCTGTTTCATAAACAGTACACTCTGGCGCTGAAAGCACTTACCCAGTGGGAGTAAGTGGGGATTTCTTTGGCTTCTTCAGGCTTGACAACGGCGAAGACATCGTTTTAAAGGATTATTACATTAAATAAAAATAATAAATCCCAAATAAATATACGCAAACATAGAACGCAGGCCCATAAATTATCAGTGATGTTAAAATATATTGTTGATCCTAAATGATACCTTAACGGTAAAACTTTTGCCTCATTGAATGATTGTTTACATTCCTAATCGCCATTTTGAAAACCGGAAATAAGTATATAGTAAATTGGGAATAGCTTTTGAATTGCCTAAAATTGATTTATCCCATATCCTCATTTTACTGACTTAAAACGATTCCAGGGCGATTTAAAGTTAAGGTACTATCATAAAATCATAAATACATACATAATTTAAAAATTCGACAAGTAATTTTCTTTCTCCATAGAAAGTAATCCCTTATTTCGTGGCATCCATCTCACACAGTAACGAAAGTGATGTTTGTACGTTGTCTCAAAAACGCTCATTTGGGTGCATCATATTATGTTTGAACGTATTTCATCACGCACAAACTACATTAAATAAAATCACTGCACCAATGACTAAATTGCTGTTTATGTAAAGTTTCTCGAGCGACCGCGCAAACAGGTTGAGGGTCTAAACTTTTTGTTTCAAACACAACATAACACATGAAGACTGTTAACTTGTCGGATAAAAGCTACATATAGTTGATAAGTCTAGTATTCTACCAGATAGGTAATACACGTCTGTGACTGAAACGGTTAAAGCGGGCAACAGTAGAAAGACCTTGACCGACATTGACGTCGCTCTTCTTTAACGAGAGGTTGCGAGATTTAAGCCCGATTAAAGGTTAAAGATGGTTGTGGCGGCCTGAAGAGTGCCTTCAACTTGGGTTAAGTTGTTTTAATGACAAAGACAAGCACACTTTACGTTTCATCATGAGTTTAAGCAAAGGTAGTGATGACTCTTTCATAGAGAAGCTGTTCAAGGAATATTCAAGACTCCTGAGGGAGAAACCGGTGCTCACAAAAGCAGTTACAAGGTGCCCGCTTCCATTGTCATAAAATCTAGTTATATTATTTTTCATCATGCCAAATTTATCATCAATTTAACATTGAAATGATATTAATTCCATAACTACAGTTAAGTAAGTTTTATTGCATACTCACTGTATGAAGATAGACCGTTGTCATAAACGTATCTCCAGGCTGCCTCGGGCTACTCGAGAGAGAGTCCAAGAACAAGTTTTTACAAAAAGAAAGTAACCTTCCACAACCGTACCTTGCTTGAAAATTTTCTAAGACCCCATTCCCATGCCTACATGGATCTAGCGAGATCGGGCCATCTCCGAGGGGATTCTCGCTAAATTGCTTTCAGTTTAAGAGGCTTAGAAGTTTAGCTGGCACGCCTACTGAAGCGCTAAGAGAAACTTAATTACCCCTTACCAGCTTCAGTAGGCGTGTCAGACATCAGAGCTGCTTAAGCTGAAAGCAATTAAGCGAGAATTCCCTCAGAGATGAACCGATCTCGCTAGATTGCTAACAACGTTCTAGATCGATCTAAGTATGGGAACCCACTCTAGGTCATCCTTGTCTGAACTTTTCCACACAGGCAAACTAGTCCATCACATTATTTGTTATTTTTGACCTTGTTATTTATTTTTTGTTTGTCTGTGAGCACATGTAGTAAGTTTATGAAAATTATGTAGGTAGAGCCAGAAACCAGTTAATCTAGAAAATTGTGACAGTCTTTAAATGGCGAAAACTTAAAATATTAAATTTTTTACAGTGCCATCAGTTCTGGTCTTGGGAATTTTTTATCGCAAGTCATATCAGGGAACCATAAAGTTGGTGGAATACAGTGGAGAAGTGTAGCAGCATTCTCAATATTCGGGTAAGATGAAGATAGCAGCTAGCAAGTTGTTTTTCCCTTTGTATGCTCTGTACCTGTTTAACCACAGTACTGTACCATTAACAGAAGTTTGTCTACCTAGAGATAATTGCTTTGCTTAAAGTAAGAAATAACCAGTAACTTACTACTATAATTCCAGTCAAGTAAGAAATTATCTTATTACTGAAATTCCAGTTTCCCCTTTTAAAAGAAATTGGAATGATTATTATTTATCTCTTTATTCATCTTTCTATTCTGTCAGTTAATAAATAGGCAATCTCTCTCTCCCTCCCTCTCTCTCTCTCTCTTTAATTAATTTCCCCTAGAATTTAGGGTGACAATTGAAAAAATAACTACTTGTTGTTTTTGCAATAAAAAGAGCATTCTTCTTCTAAATTGAGTATTTCTTTTGCAGGTTTGTAATCACAGGTCCTCTGACACACAACTTCTACTCATGGCTGGACACAGCTGTGCCCAAAACTGCATCCTATGCTGGCTTGAAGAGGATCGTTATTGATAGATTTGTATTTGCACCACCATTTCTGCTACTTTTCTTCTACATTGTTGCAATATTAGAGGTAATAAATGATTGGGGTTTGTGTGGGGGTATTACTAGTAATGTACTACTAGGCTTATATTTTCATGGTTGCCCACATATGAGTTTTGAAATGTGCAAATTGTTTGCCATGCTCTTAGCAAGAAAAAAGTGGCATCTGAAAACATTTGCAATCTGTCAAAATGCATAGATTATGTGTGAAAGGGTAAAAATGGCAACCCTTTATGTTTAACCACTGTAAATGTACTTTTTGTGCCCTAACTATGATATTGATATGATATTTTATAATTTTTAAAACATAATTTGAAGTGAAAACCACTCACGCTCTGTAGAATATCTTAGTTAATTAGATGTAATGAAAGTTGGTGTTATGTACAAGTGCACATGCATTGTTGATCACAAAGTTGACAATTCATTGGTTGTGTTTGTAGGGCCAAAGTTCTGATGCTGCTATTCAGAAAATAAGAGAGTTCTACTGGGGAGCATTGAAGATGAACTGGAGAGTATGGGGCATTTTCCAGTATATAAATGTCAATTATGTTCCACAACAGGTAAATTTCTTGACATATTATTTTGTAACCTCTGAAAAAATTTAGTGTCATATAAATTATATACTATTTCTTTAAGATGTTATCTTTAATTGTGTCACTCACCCCAATTGGTGATTTGAAAAAAAGAAAGAAATAATTATGTGACTAAGCTTCAGTAAAAATTGCTACTATGCATTATGTTTTACTACAACTAAATAAATAACTTTTACTACAACTAAATAAATCAGGTATAATATTGTTTTCTGCATTACATGCTTTCCATTATAACATTAATGTATACATGACCTTTATATTACCTTATTCCATTACAGTACAGAGTGTTGTTTGCCAACCTGGTGTCTTTAGGGTGGAATATTTACCTGGCAGCAAGGAGACAGTGAGACAGATGGCTTATGTGATATGGTGTGTTTTTATATGAAATAATATAATATAGCAAATCTTCAGGCAAGCATTAATTACAACTGGTCAGTGTGAAAGTTTGTTTATACACCTTGTTAGCTCTCGTCTCTCACATGTACTTGACCTCATTCCATTTACCCTCGTTGGCTTTCACCATTTTAGCTCATCTTGGCAACCTCTGTAAATATTTAGGCCCCATTCAGAACAGTGTACTTACTAGTCCCAGGGTCATATGGTCGACCCACTTGAATACTTCCCCATGGGGAATCTATTCAGTGTCTATTAGCGAATTAGATGACAAGCTTTTTAGTGGGTTGCCACTGTTCTGAATTTTGCCTGGGTAGGGCTCCTGTCAAACAATTCATGCCTTGTGAACACTAGTTTTTGTGGTGCAGATTTACAAAATATTTTATGGACTTGTTAATGTTAATCATGTTTTCCTCTTTTACTCACCAAAATAAACACTGACCAGTATAGTAAAAGATAATGTATATTATACTATGTAATGTATGTGAAACAAGATTTTTATGGATTTTACATAAAGCAGACTTTTTCATGCATAGTCACTTTCACTGACAATTTGAAATTAAGTATTTTTTTACTCATTAGAAAGACATCAGCATTTGTTAGAAAATGACAGCATTCTATAATTAACCTTAGGTTTTCAAAAAAACTTAGGTTTTTGAATTTGTCTGTAAAACGTAACAAGAGAATTGGAATATTTTCTTTCATACAAGAATTACAATTACATGAATATTATTAAATGTATTTAAATTCAAGTCTGATTTTTTGTTATAATTTAGTTGTTATTGGAGTTAGCAGATGATACCAACAATCCTTTTAAGCTTACAAGTTTTTAGATTGAAAATTGAAGAAAGAATTCTTCTTAAGTATATTTTGAGAATTTTATTGGAGCAGTTCAAGTACATTTAAAATAGGGTACTAGTTTAATTTAGAGATATATTAACAGTAATTATTGCATTTTTGAAAAAAAATGTTTAGATAATGTGCAAGATTAATCTGTTAATGTTATTGCTGAGCATCATGTTTTATCATAGTGTATTCTGTTTAACTATAAATGGACAAAACCCAAATTTGGGACCAACTGATTAAAAAGAGCAGCTAAAATATATTGAGAGGGGTGTTTCATTTAAATCATTGTATACATGTACTTAAATGGTTTTTGTTTAAATCAGTTGTGAAACTAGATAACAGAGATATCTGACCCACTGCAAAGATATTGATAACGCCATGGTAAATTCTTGATAAATTTCAACAGGTCTGCATTATCAGTAGAAATGTAGACATCCTTTGGTTAGTAGCTTGACAAATAAACATACCAATCAATATATCTGACTGAATGAGCACACTTGAGGGGTGATAAGAGGCCACATTAATCACAGACACATTTCATGAAGTCCGACTGTAAGCAGATCAAATATGGGCTGGCAAGTTCTTAGTTCATTTCTCAAGCTATTGACAAAATAAATTTTTGTAATCATCAGCTGTCAGGTCTTCTTCAGAGGCAAAGTGATGTTACTGGGGCTGTTTGGTTAATTAACAACAATTATATATATATATATATATATATATATATATATATTTATGTCATTCTTTTATGAACTTGGCCAATATTCATACATGTGTCACCTGGCAAAGAATCCAAGTTTTCTGCATCTATTAAGAAGGTTGAATGAAAGATGACATTGAAGTACACAACTGGCTCAATTGTTTACTAATTAGGGTTTATTAAAAAGAATAATCAAGCTGTTGTGTTGAATAAAAGCAATTTCCTATAATTTTATGTTTGCATTTGCTTTAATAAATGATCAGTCAGATAAATCAAAGAGGCTGAAGTAAAAGAATCCACTTTATTTATACATAAGCAGAGTAAATTAAATTAGTCCAATTAAACAAGAAGTTTAAATGCCACTGTCAGTTACAAAGACTAAATCTATAACCTGTAAAATCATTTACTGAACAAAATTAAATGTTTTGACAGAAAAAGCTTATCATGTAAAGCAGATTTTTATAGCACCTGGCATTAGTAAGTCTATTATAAACTAAAAACATTTCCTAAACTGAGGTTGTCATCTATAAATATGTATATGATAGGTCATAAATTAGATGAAAATCTTTACAAAAACATGTGCTCAAAACGAACCAATAACTTAACATACAACATTGCACTTTGAGAAAGCTTGGCACCAGGCTTAGATATACACGGTTTAAAATAAATGAAACCCGATGACAAGATATTAAAAAGATGAAATAGTGAAGATTAGCCGTTCTCAGCACATTGGCATACAAGCATTTCTAATCAACATGGAACATGCTGTAAATTTGTGCGAGACACTTCATAAAACACATCTCCAAAACAGATTGCACTTTTCTCCTTAAAAATACAAGTGAGTGACCACTGTTTACCTGTACTTGACCAGTATGATATGCACAACAATAAATAAAATGTACACTTTTCAAAATGAGATTGCACAACTTTGGAGTTTGTTTTTAAATGGCAAGGTACTTTTCAGAACATGTACACAGTGAGAATGAGCTTTGTAAGTTGACTACAGTACATTTACAGTTCTGTTGAAACCGTTGCTTAATATCTGTGGTGATGTCATTTAAACATCACCGCCTGTATTTTTCAGTGCTGCTGCTTCTACTGCGATGCTTTCTTTTTCTTGATCTAGATCTTGACCTGGATCGACTTAATGATCTAAAACTGTCCCAGCTACTGACTGAGCTTGGTGATGATGGCCTGTAGTAGGGAACTGGTCTTTTTCGAGCACTAAAAGAAACAAACAAATATCTACAATATCCACAGTATTCTTACCATTTTTTCTTTTCTTTTTTTTTTTTTTGCAAAAATGCCAGGGAACTGCAAAGTGTCCATGGTGATATAATTTCTAGGGTACATAATAACTGATTATTTAAATGAGTACTTGATTTATTTTTTCTTTCTTAAATTAGAATGCAAAACTTAAAAGTTACCACAAAACTACACAATAAGCAACACTTGTCAAAATCTTCAGAAAGTGCAGTGTAAAAAAGTAATTGCAGTAAGCAACATTTCACACAGAATCAGTGTAGATCTAAGCTGTGATTAATTTCGTGTCTATAAATTTAAATGCATTATATTTCTACATTTGACAAACTACATTGGACTAACTAAAGGTTTCTAGTGATGAAAATAAAACTAGGAACCACTGTATGGGGTAATTGGAAGAGTGGAATTACTCACAACCATCAAATGTATGATGTTTTCTAAAACAGAACGGGTGAATTGTAATGCTTCCCATGCAGTGTCTCCAGATAAGCAGGTGACTCACAGAAACAGCAAGTAGGCATTAAACTAAATCAAAACATGATCACTACAGAAGGAAAAAAAAGCACCAACCAAAACCAGGAATTTAGCCCAAGTCAACAAAATATTAAATAACATGCACATTAGTGGTTTCCTTGAAAATAGTTTTAAAAATAAATGTTCTAAAACAAAACAAGAAAAAAAAAAGGAATGAAATGACTATGATGGTTAATTCATGGATTAAAAATTAGGTTGTAATTCAATCCCATTCATTAAGGTAATATCTGGGACTTCAATTAACATGCAGCAGCATCAAGATATGAACCTGGAAACTCAAAACAATATTAGTAGTAATTATTATTATGGCTCATGCATTTCAAATTAGTTGTTATGATCTCAGTTCTTCATATGGGCAGTTAGATCCTGGTGCTTTGGTTAGTGGCATTAGAGAATAGTCTGAGCACAGCTTCCTCTAGGATATCATTAGTATCATCACAAGCTTTTTAGCATGCTATGAGATTACTGGCAATCTTTGAGGTTTATTCTATGTACCATGTTTTTGCCTCCTTAAAAAATGAAATCCTTTATCGTCTGCTTGATCTGTAATAAGGTGAACGAGAGCGAGATCGGTTGTAACGATCATAAGCTCTAGTTCTGGACCTGGATCGTGAACGAGAACTGGAGTATCTTCTTCGCCTTCTTTCCTGGCTACGTGATCTTGACCTGAATGTGGTGCAATTATAGGGTACCAAACAAAATTTACAACACTGAGAAAGCAATGGACATTTAAGACAACAGCAAACTAGAAACAGATACCATACTATGTTAAATCTGATTTTCACACTTTTGTACAGAATGTTTTAACTGATGTTTTCTTGTCTTATTAAAAGGGAATGGTATCTGTTATGACAACAAAAAAAGAACACAGAGCTTTTACAAAAAACAACAAAAACAAGAATGTGACTAAAAGTGAGTGACTGTTTTAGAGTCTGAAAGAAGTCATAATAGAATTGGTCCATCAAACTGAAACTGATCTGATGAATTACAACAAAGATACACTCAAAATGAAGTACCTTCATTTTGTAAAGATCCAATCTATTCTTTCTAAGTGCTCTGTTTTACCTGGTAATTCTTCTTCTGTCCAGATGACTGGGTGAGCCTGTCCGTCTACGAATTGAAGGACTTCTAGAATCTCTTTCCTTAGAGGTTTTGCTTGGACTATGACTGTAGCTTCTGCTCTTCCTCCTGCCAGCTGGAGAGTAACTCAATGAACGACTTTTACTACGATGTTTGCGGGTTCTGAAATATTCAACAGATTCTAATCTAAGCGCAATCATCTGAAAAGAATATTTGAAGAAGTCCAAGATACACATTGATCTTTAATTCACAAACATTTAGCTGAGCCTCTGTCAGGTAACAAGAAACTAATCCATCTCAAATAAATCATCACACACTGGTTTGCAATAACAGTTGCTGACATTTTTAAGATCTAAGAGTCACCTTTTCCTACTCCGGCTTCTGCTTTTTGACTTTCTCGAAGGTGTTCTTGAGGTCTTTCTCCTTGGTGGTGGTGACGGGGAGACTTCTGGCGTCCTCTGCCTGGTTGAGGAAGCCTGGGGCTTCACTGTAGGGGGACTTGTGGAAGGACTTCTTGACTTAGTATGACCATTCGTCTTTTTAGGTGGTGGTGAAGCACTTGGGCTCTTTGTTCTGCAATGGGACATTGAGAATTTAAAAAGCATGATAATATCCAAGGTCAATACAGCAAACTCAGCTAGGAACACTCAAAGGATTATGTGGTTTCATATCAAAAAGTACCCTCTTATGACTGGTGTTGCCATCTTAATTCTGCCATCAAATTTCCCAGAACGGTTAGTGACAATACCTGCAAGTGTGCACCACACTGCACATTGTTTATTAATGGCTGTAAGTACTAACCTTTTTTGCGGGGAGGGAGACTGTTGCTGACTGGCATGTGGTGAAGGAGATTTCTTGGCCATTACTGGTGATGGCACCTTCACAGGACTTGCAACTTTGTGCTTTGTGACAGGGGTCTCATCATGGGAGCTATAATTTGAGAAACAAGTTCAAAAATCAATTTTGTAATATAAATGCTGTCGATCTTATATTTTTATTTCCCACAAAATAAAAGTAACAAAAAGTGTTCTTATCCTGTCTAAGGTAACTTATTTTTCATAACTGATGGAAAATAACAAAGACAACATATAACAAAGGGTCTGTCTTACATATCATATCTGAGAAATGGTGCTAATTCTGTAATGGGTAACTTTAAACCCCAACAGGGTTTAGNGTACTGGAAGTGTGTGTGTGTGTGTGTGTGTGCATGTGTGCACGTGCGTGCGTGCAAAAAGGTTTGTACATCTGGGGAAAATGGTCCTTTCATCTTTTTCAAAGTACAGATTTGATAGATAGTTCTAATGAGGCGATATAAAAAACAATCACATCCCAGTCATTTCGCACTTAAATAGAAAAACATACAAAATCCCTAAAAACTCACACACAAACACAGTGTTTTCTTCTATACCTGCTGGTTGCTTATCTGTCCATTTTGTGGATTGTAATGTGCAGCAAATAACAAAATATGAGAAAACATGAAATATTCAGTATATCAGCCCCTAAACAACTTACGAGTTCCTACAACTGCTTCGACAGTCTCACAAAACCAACCGCCATTGACAATTTCACAAACTCATTTCCACGCGACTCAATTTTAATTCTCTCTGTTCCAGATTTAAGTCTTTGCATTATAAAAGCAACAATGACCACAGATTCCTCAATAGATTAAAATGTACAGTATGTACTTAAATGCATGTTTGCTAAAAATGTAACAGTGATCCAAAAGCATCTTTCATAGAAAAAATTTAAATTATCTTGTAACTGATTTTTTAAACAATTTATGAATTTGTACATCAGTTATGAGTAGAAACTGTTTCCAATGAAGGAACCAAATCTCAGACNAACTGGAAGTGTGTGTGTGTGTGTGTGTGTGCATGTGTGCACGTGCGTGCGTGCAAAAAGGTTTGTACATCTGGGGAAAATGGTCCTTTCATCTTTTTCAAAGTACAGATTTGATAGATAGTTCTAATGAGGCGATATAAAAAACAATCACATCCCAGTCATTTCGCACTTAAATAGAAAAACATACAAAATCCCTAAAAACTCACACACAAACACAGTGTTTTCTTCTATACCTGCTGGTTGCTTATCTGTCCATTTTGTGGATTGTAATGTGCAGCAAATAACAAAATATGAGAAAACATGAAATATTCAGTATATCAGCCCCTAAACAACTTATGAGTTCCTACAACTGCTTCGACAGTCTCACAAAACCAACCGCCATTGACAATTTCACAAACTCATTTCCACGCGACTCAATTTTAATTCTCTCTGTTCCAGATTTAAGTCTTTGCATTATAAAAGCAACAATGACCACAGATTCCTCAATAGATTAAAATGTACAGTATGTACTTAAATGCATGTTTGCTAAAAATGTAACAGTGATCCAAAAGCATCTTTCATAGAAAAAATTTAAATTATCTTTTAACTGATTTTTTAAACAATTTATGAATTTGTACATCAGTTATGAGTAGAAACTGGTTCCAATGAAGGAACCAAATCTCAGACGAGTGGGTAATGTTGATGATAAAGTTGAGCAGGAGCAGAAAATTTACGTTCCTGTAGGTTATTCAGAGTGCTTGAAGTGTTCATATGACAGTCACATTCTAGTGTGCTTTAAATTGCAATCATGTTTTCTTTTTGAACAACACAAAATAAAATGTACCTTTCTGAGTCAGACTTGCTTTCTTCTGAGCTGGTAGCAGAACTGGAGGAAGGTGATCGCCTTCTCTTCTTCTTCTTGCTTTTGCCTGGTGATTCACTGCCAACCCTTAAACAAGTACCAGGACTGATTGACTACATCTTACTGTATTGTTTCAAAATTCTTATGAAGAAATTATTACATAATTTCAGTTTTTACAAAAAAAAAAAAAAAAAGTTAATTACCTTTTCTTGCTTTTCTTTGATTTTCTCTTCCTTTTTGGAGATTCAGACCTGAATAAATAATAGTACAAATATTTTAGCCCGCACCCTGAAAAAATCATCAAAGCTACAGCTACCACTATATTTGAGTGGATTAAGTCAAGTCCCTAATACCAAAGCACAGAAGCCTAATAACAAAGTGGGTCAATCCAGGCTCGATTCTGAAGCATTTCAAAGCAGCATTAAGAGATCATTTAATCAAAAAGAAGACTATTAACAGAACTTCCAATTTTTAAAATATTTTCACAAGCTACAAACATGATGCCTGGCATTGCCCACTTTGTAGGAAAAGACAAGGAGGTGCAGCAGTAGTAGTAGTAGGATTACAGAAAATATTTATGCCGCTGGCATAATTGGCAATTTTGCTTGTAGGACAGATTTACTTTGATGAAAGATAAGGCATGCAGATCTATTGCAATCTAATTGTCTTACCTACTTAAATCAAAATATTTAAGCAGAATCAAGATGACCCAAAATTAACTCCTACCTCTGCTATGTTATGATCATTAAATATATTTATGTATACATAATGTAGGCAAAGTTCATACACGAACAGCCACAGTGCCTTAAAATCTTACCTGTTTTTTGTTAACTTTGCGCAAGCGTAGAAAAAAGTATTTGATATCTTACTACTTGCACAAGCAGATATTGAGTATGTTGATTTATAACTTGATTATTTCTATGATTAGGGACCATACTGTTATTAAAGTGTACCACAAGCTTTAAGAGTGTTAACATTGTAACATGTCAAACAGGCTAGTGCACTGCTGTGTGCCTCAAACAAAAGACCACCCTCTGATAATGTAACTTTATCCTCTTCAAGCAAACAAACACTGAACAACTAAAAACTAATACAAAATATCAATTTTCAATGAAAAGCTGGTGAATGGGTTAGTTATAGAAAGCCGTGTCTAAGCAAATTTACCTTGGTTCAAAGAATGGGCCTGCTATCAAATAATAAGCACAATAAAAAAAGAAATGGTGAATCAGAAGTCGTTTGAATAACTGTATTTTCTTTTTATATATACTGCAACAAATTTTCAATTTTCATTCAATTGTTCTCCAAAATTTTGACAGTTTAATGTGTCAAAAAGCAAATGAACTCATGTACTGTAACTCTCCATCTAGTTTGAATTGAGACAAAACTGGAGTGCACAGAGTAGTTCACAGTAAAAACAATCATGCATTTAAATCAAATGAACAGACAGTAATATCTACACAGAGAACCGATGAAATGAGAAAATACAAAATTTCAAAGTTGTTTAGAACACACATTAGTTTGTACAACACTTTAAAATCTTCTCTAAAAGAAATCTAAAAATAATTAAGGTAAAACTCACCAAAGCAATACACTTAAGTATCAACATCTCTCATAAAACAATAAGCAAAAAAATTAACTTGACAGAACATAAGCATAATAATCAGATTATTACTGACAAAAACAAGTACATCTATAGCATGTATTGTTCTACAAGACATCAACTCCTTCTTGGTTTTCCCTTCCAGTGCATGTCTTTAAACAAGTACCTATAATCAGTCATTGATAACGTGAATATAAAAATTTACTGAATATGTGGTCCAGCAATCTTCAGTCTGCTGCTCTTGAAGCAGTCTGGTCAGTGATATTGTTTACAATGGCTGAACATGTGGTGCATGGTGAACAATGGCATGCAAAGATATGAACCATCACCCTCTAGCCAAGTCCGGGAAGAGTACAGTTAGAAATTCACCTGTCACGCTTTTTCTTGCTCTTCTTTTTCTTCTCTCTGCTTGGTGATGGGCTCTCTGATCTGTAAGCATGAAACCATTTTACTTTTGAACATATGCATATTCTTCATTATAAACTGTCCCAAATAATGCTTGTCCCTTCACTATGGCCTTTAAAAACTGTCACTATCTCAAAGATTAAGAGGATAAAGTTCACTTCAAACTGAAATAGCAGTAGAAAAAATATATAGATGATTGGACATTCAAGTTTTAACCTGATCCAAATGATTTCTGCATACACTTTACCTGTGTCTTTTTTCCTTCTTCTTCTTTTTCTTTGGTTCTGGAGAAGGAGATCTGGATGAGCTGGAGCTTCTAACAAGCCTGTCAAATTAAAATGTGATATTGAAAATAACTTATATATTAATTCTGAAATAAATAAATAAATAAATAAATAAATAAAATAATAATGATAATAAAAACTCACACACTGAGAATGAGGTTCAAGTGAAATGAAATTCTCAGAAATCTGTCAAATAGACTGAAATGTTTCCAACAACGTACTCAGTCATTACTGAAAGTAAAATAGATTTTCCAAGAAATCCGTTCACCAATTTAATCTAGAATGTTCCACCAATCTACATACTCGTATTGTTTCTTTGCCATGGCCTCTGCTCTAGCAGCCTCCTCCTTAGCTTTCCTCTCTGGATCAAAGGAGCTGCCATCCACATAGTTGTCACTCAAACCAAATGCCGCACGGAGTTTCAGATTCTTTTCTTGGTTGGCTTCAGCTATCTGATGTGTGCCAATTGCTCTAGAAAAGCAGATCAAAATTCTTTTCACTGAAAATATCTTGGGTTGTATAATTATAAGGATAGTGACAATGATTAATTGCTTTACTGCATTTTATAAAAATGTTTTTCACCTCACATAATTATCATAAACTCCATCTAAAAGAAATAACATTAATGCAAATATAAAAAAAGGAAAAAATTTGCTGACTGTAAAGCAATCCAGTTGTGCTTAATCAAATTCAATATTAAGGCACTGCATATGAGTTGCTGAATAAACATGGGACAAAAATCAATCTTACATTTAATGGCAAACCAAACTGTAGCCCATCATGCCATGGGAATAACACCAGCCCCATAAATTACTTTTGAATTTGACTCGATGACGTCAATTATTAGACATGACACACACATACACAAAACATTACATTTTGGCAGAGATGGATTGTTAAACATTATCTTTACATCAATGTATAGAAAATGATTGTGTAAATTTAAATTATAGATCAATACATGATGCAAGCCTATCTAAGTCCAGTCCATTGCATTTGCACATGATATAAAATTTTCAAAAGTGTAGTTAAGGCCCTAGAAAAGAATTGCATGAAGCATATTAATAGTTTCATGAATCTATTCTGTCAGTCAGTTCTAAACTACAGCCAATATCTTTTACACAGAACTACTGCCACATAATCAATAAATCCAGGTAGCAATATAACCATATGCATACAACTCCCATACCAACATACATGAATAATTGAAAATATCACTCTGGAAAAAAATCTGCTGGTGCTAATTAATTTTCTGGAGAATAAACAGTCAACTTACACTGGTCTTCCCTGTTCATCTTTTTCTACTGCTCTTTCACTGACTCCTTCTTTGTCCATCAACATCTTTCTAAATGCTGCCACTTTCCTTTCCACTTCTTCAGCTGGATATCTGATGAAAAAGGAACAGAAAATTTCATTCAATTCATCATATAATTTATTAAACTGAAAACAAGATGGTATTTGTTGTATTTTAAAATAAAACTAAAATCTAAACATTTTGTGCAAGAGGGCATCCACAACAGATGATCCTTGGATCTATTGATCTGCAGATCAAATATGGCGGTCCCTACATGAAAGCAGAGCTGATTAATCTGCTGATGGTCTCCCCGCCACACGTGCCATTAAATGGATGAAATCACAGCTCCCAGGTTTAATTGCTAGACCCCTGCAGGGATGGCGCTTGTGACAGGGAGACCATCAGTGGAACAGTTGGCTCTGCTTTCATGTAGGGACCGCCATATTTGATTTGTGAATCAGTAGATCTGAGAATCAACTGTTGTAAATGCCCTCCAAGTCATTCATGGTTCAAAGGGATCTCTCTACATCAAACTAAAATATGCTACCAGTCACGTTCATAATACCTTACATATACTAGTACACAAGATGCTGGGAAAAAAGTTTCTATAACAGGCATTACAATCTAAACACCTACCCTTGTTCCTCCATCAGCTCCTGCATTTCCATACATTTCAATTCCACTTTTCTCTTTCTTTCATGGTCCAGAATCTCTTGATTAGGTCCCTTATTCATACTTTGGTCCAGCTTCTTCAGTTCTTCCTCACTTTTATAATCAACCTTATCCTTGTGCCGCCTTATGGAGGACAGATTCCTCTGCACATAGCCATTGGTGCCACTCCCCCGGGCCGTCTCCAGCCCTATCCCATTATACATGATTGCTACTGGTCAACTGAAATGTAATTACAATAACTGCAATGGGTTAAGACAGACACTGCCTATGAAGGAAACACCTGACAGACTATCTCAAAATCCATTTCCCGTGTTCAGCCATAGTAACCATGGCAAACTCCTACTGCTACTAATGTGATAAAACGACAAATCATCCACACTTCGCGTTGTTTTCCAGTGATTATTCAGAGCTTTCTTCAACCACAGCCAATATTGCTCTAGATACGATAAGCTGCTGCTCAGAGAAAAAATAATCAATATGGTAACGTCATGCTGCAGCAAAACTCATCATGAAATATTGACATCCTGTGAAGAATGAAGGTGTCCAAATGCTTGATTGTACACTCAATCAATACAACAGGAAATTACATCCCAACAGCAAGTTATGTAGTTCTACGTATTGATTCTACGGCCTGATCAATTGCCCACGGGAAATATCACCCTGTTCAAGCAGCTTTAAATGGGCAAAATCAACATTTTATATTCAGAGTTCAATTTATTTACATGCTTACAAAAAATTATTTTCAATATTATGATAATAGACTGCAAAACTGAAACTCGCGATACAGAACATATGGGTCATTTCACAAAAAAGGAAACATTTGTGTTTAGTAAGTGATGCACACATTTTGTGTAATATTTGCATTTCTACTGTTTTATATTGCTTTTTGATAACTGTTAATTTCTTCCCACATAGGGCACTTTAGAATACAACAATTATAATTATAGGACATTAAAAAATTATGCAAATATTACATAAAATGGCAATGGAACTGACATAACTCAAGCAAATGAATGAGCCATATATGAACACCAACTTTTCAAACAGTACCTGTAAAACCATTTAAAAAATCTACTAGTTCTTTTGCAACTGATCATTACTGGGTAATTCATTAACCATTACTGATTATTAGCTAGGTTGACTGTCAGTGATTAGGTTTTAGCATGTGCCGTCAGAGATCATGTCAGAGCACTAGAACTGTGAGCAGGTCATTCTGTTCACTGCATGTGCATAATTTAGAACAGAGTCTGAAGGAGACCTCCAGCTCCAACCATATGTTGTGGTAGCTGATGACCTGCACCATAACAAACAGTCCGTCTTCACTTGTAATAAGGCCATTCTCGAAGACCTCCAACACCAGCAATCATTCAGCAAAGTCCATTACTTGTCAGATGGAGCCCGAGTCCCTAGTCAATTCAAAAGTTGGTTTTTACCGTCTAAACATGGTACTATCATGAAAGAGATTTTGGTATGGAAGTGCAGTGGTACTTATTATACCACTGCCCATGGCCAAGGTCCAGTGGATGGGATCGTAGGGAAAATGAAACATCAGGTTTGGAGTGCAGTGCTCCAGAGAAAAATGGTTGTAGATACTCCTTATCAATTCTATTTGGCTGGCAAAGAATTATGCCCCAATGTCAACGTAATGTACCTGTCTACAGCAGATATTGTAGCAGCTACCACAGCGCTGGGAAAACTGTCCATCTGTTCCTGGAATTCAACACTTCCAACAGCTCTAGCCCTAGCCACGTGGACATGTTCTTGTGTCAACCAATTCTCAGTACCAGCAACCCTTCTAATATGCTAAACTTATTCATATGACTGTGGACTTTGATTTGCCTGCACATCCGCACTATGACAATGTCAGTCAAGGCACAGCTCAGTCTCACCAGGGAGATTTTGTCATTGCGGAGTTTGCTGCCAGGAAAGGAGTAAAACAATTTTTAGGTCAAGTCACCCATGACACTGAAGACTGCGAAGTGGAAGTTTCTTAGGTACTGAAGGTTCTGGCAAAAGAATCTTTGTGTACCCTGCCACAGAAGACAAAGCATGGATTCCCATAAAAGATGCAAAGGAAGTCCTTCCAATGCCTAGCATAGAGTAGACACTTGTGGACTTTACTTGTTTCCATTACCTGTTAATGTGACTGGTTGAAAAATGTGTTTCCATTACCTGTTAATGTGACTGGTTGAAAAATATCTCTAAAGTGCAGAAAAGATATGTGTTCTAAGACTAATTGAAAAACAGGAATTATTATGTGAACTATCATGGACAGTGTTGACTGATATTGAGAAATAGCAGTAATGGACAGTGGATTACGTGAAAATTATACTGAGGCTTATCGCTGTGTCTTGATAATTAATTAATATTATAAACATATTGCATCTGGTGATTTTTCTAATCTACAGAAATGCTATTTTGCAATAACCATCAAGTAAGATTCATTAGATACGAAAATGTGGCTTTTTAAACCTCTTTTCTAAGATTTTTCAATAGTGCCCAAAAGTGTCCCGTCAGAGACGTCCCGTCAGAGACAGTGACTTTTTACACTTAACAGCCCATGCTGCCAAGGAAATTAAACAAAACTGGCCTGTTTGTGCATTAATTGCTTCCCAAGACTTGTACCTTGCAATATGAATTACAAAAGTCTTGATTAAATGAAATTTCAAAGAGAATTTTGCATTGGAGTTTTAGTAAAAACAAGGCAGCAAAGCTGTCAAATGTACAGACAAAAACAGAAAATAAAAATGCAGAAAATGGATCATTTTGTCAATTTTGATGCAATAATAAATAATGCCTATAATAGCACTGTCAATCAACACCCAATTTTAATCATGCACAACAGGTAACATGGTCAATAACAGGAGCAGATCCAGAGGTATTTTCTGACAGTATTCCAAATTATCTTTGTTGATCCATCCTCCATTTTGATGGTCTTCCAACAGAAAAAACAGATACCCATCAATGTGAACTTTAAAATCTGACCGTCATCTGAAAGACCCAGAAGACGGCCTCAATCCGCCCCTGCAATAAGATTACATTTTAAGGACCATGAGAGTTCAAATTCACATAATGAAAATCCCAATACTTGAAAATTAATGACAGTGCATAAAATAATATTACATAATGTTTAAAGACATAAAAACCAATACAAATGCTTATGTGAAAATACAGAAAATGTGAAGAGCTTCAGGTGGATGGGAGCTGAAACTGGTTTACCATAATTTTTATATAATCAACTAACAATATTGTTAAGATGCATAAAATGTCAAACGAACATTTTTACATATTTAATTAGTTCACAAATGATTGTTAACATGCCTAAGAATTAAATCTGAGGAAAAAAAACACTTATATGCAAAAAAAAATAATGATAACTTCACCAAAACTGAACCGATCGAGCTTATTTTCAAACTTCATCTGTATTTCAGTAAGACTGATCACCCCTGTGAATATCAAGACAATTGGCCCATTGATTTTCCTTGAAATGTGTTAACGGTATTGCATATATGCTGAAAAAAGTGAAAAAACAGCATAACTTCCATAAAATTGGTCTGATCACGCCGATTTTCGAACTTGACCTGCGTATTATGAATATTCATCAGTTCTGTAAGTTTCAAGCCAAAGGGTAAAACATTTTTTCACTTATCGTGTTATCGGTGTTGTAAAAGTACTGAAAAAAGTGAAAAAACAACATAACTTCCATGAAAATGGCCCGATCATACTGATTTTCGAACTTGACCTGTGTATTATGGATATTTATCAGTTCTGTAAGTTTCAAGCCAAAAGGTAAGACGGTTTTTCACTTATCGTGTTATCGGTGAAAGTGCACGGCGACGACGACAGACACAGGTGATGGCTATATGTACAGACACATCTGTGTCTGTACATAANTTAAAAAAGAATCAATCCATGCACTAAAAAGGCGTTTTTAATCCTATTTTTTGTCCCTTTAAGTTGTCAAATTAAAATGACAGTCAGCTAGTTCAAGGTATGTTACATAAAACACAATGCCACATTTTTACTGGCTGGAAAAAAACTAAAAAACTACAATCAAGCAGGATGAAAAATTGCTCGGCCTACACGATCATTTATGAATTTGCTGTTAGGCAGGAAACAACCCTGATATTTTTCTTATATTCACATTCTGCTCATTCTATCTTCAACAGGTATATGACTGATTTCACAGCAGCATTACATAACTGACATACCAGCATGTTTATATAGCCTTATTGACAGTACTGTTGATAGCAAGACTGGATGGCTTTTCAGCAAATGATACATATCAGAAAATCTTGCAAGAAGCCCTGCTGCATAAAACATTGTGCAAGCCTAAACCCTAACTTGAAGGTAGCTACTAAAACTTACTTATTAGACATCACTTAGTAATTAAACATAGCAATATAGTATACTAGTACTAACACTAGTAGTTCATCAAATGAAGTATAAAATAGATCTACATAATAATATTTATTTCGTAACTAAAATTTAATTGGTACATACTTTCCAACAAAGACAAAGCATACAGTTGTGAAGGCAAATAAAAAACTTATCAATGACTTCACACCAGTGGATTTAAACATATGGTACTCACTTTGTCTTTCGTTCTGCGACCCGTTTCTTTGTTGTAAACATTAAATATCGAAGTATAGTCGATCGAACATTTTCGGCGTAATTTCCCAGAAATGCATGCTACTTCCGGTATGTAAAAGTTTGGAACACATTTTGTTGCCTGTGGGAACGTCCTTTACGGAAAAATAAAATTTAAGATCTTATTTTGCAAAACTATATTTTGGTAGAGACTACAAAACAAAACAGTTAATGTGTCTCTTATCATTAAGAAATATTTATCTTATATTTTACTCAAAACTGAAACATCATTTGCGTAGAAATTCTTTTACTACTATGAACCCTTGTTAATCATGGCGGGTACTTTGCAGTTTCGAGACCACGATGTAAGTGAACACGTAGTTATACATTTTAAACAGTGCGTTTCTGGCATAATAATTTGATTTTACGTTGGGAGCATTCATTTTGATCCCAGAGCACCAGCCCTCTGCATTGCCGCTGTTTAAAAAGACCACCTGGCACCTTGTTTCAGTGTGTTGTCTGTCTGGGGTCCACAGACAGTTACAGTTTATATTTTCTAATAAAACTAACCACTATAAATGCAATACACAGCTTCATATAAGAGTATAAATAAACCATTTATTTTTTGGGGCTATCCCATTAAGATTAAACCTTATTCAAATTTATTGACACCATGCTTTTCTTTTTCTCATACATCACCAGTTCACCACTGTCTTTCAAAAATGAGCCGTGAGTTGTGCCACTCCATTTTCACCCTCTTACTAATGTCATGTAAACTTTTCACTTAATAAATAAAGCAGCTAAGCATGAACAAACAGATGAAACACTGATGCTAGGATTTTCCCAAGCAGAGTAATGTGCATGTGCATTAGGCAAAATAAAGGAATTTTCCAATACAAATTGAGACAATGCATCTCCCAAAGTTAAGGGTATGGAATGGAATAGGGAGGCTCCCATTGGGGGGGGGGGGGGGGGGGCTGTAGCAATCACAGTTTACAAGAAATTAAATCAATTAATAAATCACAGTAAGCAAAACCTTATTCATATCTCATTGAAAATGCAAGTTGAAAATAACAAATAAGGAAGAATAAAAAGCTGCATTCATGGGTCACATTGAATGCATTGAATGGGGTGATTCAGTAATCACACTTAATAAAGTGAACATGTCAAGCATTTCGAGAGAAAATAAAAAGTGACTTTCATGGGTAATGAGATTACCCAGTGGGACCCTGAATAGAAATTGACATCCTAACAATGGTTTAATGTTAAACAAAAGTGAAAAGGAAGAGGGATATAAAAAAATTACAAAAAAATTTCCCCAAATTTCTCCCAAAATCTTACATGCTGGTTAAAAACACAAGTCCTTGTTCTTATGTATACATATATTTCATCTTGCTACTAAGTACCCTTTGCTGACCTTTTAGATGCAATCAGTTAAAATATTTGTCTTCTAAAATTTTCACTTTTGCCCTTCCCTAGTTGACAAAGGTTAGTTCCTAGTTTCCAGTGCAGATGTTGAAAAGCAGCATCATGCATGCAATGTAAAAACGGGTAGAATTCTGGTACCTGATAAAGACTTTTTATTGCAGTTTGTGAAAATAAACAACTTGTGCCACATCTGACAACCTGTGATTCCTTGTCTATGTTACAGTTCAGTATGTTTGTAAGTTCTTTAACACGTTTAACTTTAACAGCTGAGCTCATTGAACAGCAACTGTCATCACTCATGGTCATGTATTGCCACTTGTTGGAGCCACTCTGAGTTAAATTTCAGTGCATATTCATGACAAATGTTCACAAGAAATATTGGTAGATATCTGATGATCTTCAGTATCTACTGTCCAGTCCAGTCTCTGGGTATATATAGCTACCAGCATTATAATTGTGGTTTGAGAGAATCTGAAAAACCATTTCACATGAAATACCAATTTATATTGAAAAGAACCTTTTGCCATTATTGTGGGATTCTTATGCAATTAATATTTTATTGTATTAGTCCTAAGCTTAATGTTATTGTCATCATATTTGTGTGGCTTATATAATGAATAAATAATAAACCTAGTTGTGATGTTATTCAGGGTGCCCAGGAAGCCATTAGGAAGCAGCTCCACACCACAATCTTCAGCCAAGCTTTTTCTCCTGGTGGCAAGTACCTGGCTGTAGGCACTAGTTTTGGTGAAATAGCAGTTTTCAAGTGAGTCTGTTGATAGAGACACGAGGACATGTAACTGTTGAAGCCATCCTGTCAACCCAAAAAAAGTTTTAAAATTGCACTTTCAAATTGTAAATTTGACTTATCCAACTTTCCCTCAATACTTAAAAGTCCACCAAATGACTATAGCACAGAAAGAAAAAAATATCTGTTTAAATATCATTTTTCAAGAGTTTTTGATGATTCTTTATGGCATTTCTCTAATATATGCTGTTTGAAATTTGGTGGTGGCATTTGACCAGGTTAAGTGGCAATTGTTTGACATGTGAAATTGCTTCAAATGCATCTTCATGAAATTTATGTTCTTATTGTTCTTAATTATTTTGAAGCATATCAGCTAGCTTAAGCAGGAACAGCAATGAAGAAGACATGAAACCTACTTTTTTATTTAAAGGTAAGTCAGTTCATTCATAATTATTATGAAATCAAGTTATTATCTAAAATATGTCAGAAAAGTTTGTACACTAATTCCAGGGTATGTTTATTTCATAAGCTTCTCATGTCATTAGATAAAGACCGATTGTGTTAGATGTTACTGTGATTGTACCGATTTCTGCTGTGGATTGTTGTAGTAAATACAGTCTACAAAAGAAAAATACACTTAGATTTGTTACAAGCCTTTTGTGTTCTTAAATTGATCTAATACCTAAAATAAAACAAGGCAGCAAAGCTGTCAAATGTACAGACAAAAAACAGAAAATAAAGATGCAAAAAAGGTCATTTTGTCAATTTTGATGCAATAATAAATAATGCTTATAACNTTCACGGCGACGGCGACGGCGACGGCGGCGACGACAGACGCAGATGATGGCTATATGTACAGACACATCTGTGTCTGTACATAAAAATTCAAGCTGCCTTGTTGAAAAATTGAGTTTATCCATCAGATATGTAGATAGTATAAAAATGGTTTCCAGCTAATTGGAAACACCAGTAGAGATCAACCCTGTCAAGAGACCGGAGAGACATACTAACAATTCTCTCTTTGAACCTAGCGTCAGTCATTTCTGTTTTAGCCTAAATCAATGCCTTGTGAAAGGTAATCTAGAAATTTCATTGATTCCTTGCTAGTGATGTTTTTGAAGTGAGACATTTATGGACAGTAAATATTAGTGTTCTTATCTGTTTATTATCTTACTTAAAGTAATCCATGGTCTTAATAGTGTATGACATCAGGGCTTATATTGATCTGTTTTTAATCCAAACAATGGCAGCCTTTAGGTTTGGGAAAAGGGTTGACTTTTTTCTTCATTGATAATTGCGCTTGTTTCATAAGCTGTTCATCAAGCTCATTTTTGTTTTGACCAGCCTTCTAAAATTTGAAAACAGTAGAGACCATCAGTGCATGAGAAGTTAAAGATTGCAGTGGTCGGCTGGATACCTGTTGTGAAAGGGGCTTCTTGGATAGAACTTAATGGCTTTTAGGATAAATTTCAGGTTTTCAATACTGACAGGAAATGTTTATGGTAGAGATTTTCAGTTCCGTGAAAGTTACTACTTACCTGTCCTGAACCACTATTGTTCTGTAAAGTGCATTGTCAATGTATTGGATCAATAAGTCATGCTTAGGATATTTGGTCATGGTCTTTGTGGACTTAAACACACTGTTCCTATAGAAGCACAGCATTATAATGGTGCTAAAGCTAATGCTAATCTTTTACATTTTTTCATTCTATTTTTATCATCTACTCACTTTTCTGTTATCATTTCAAAATGAAACAATAGGGACATTTTACGTTACGTCATACACAGCCATTCTTTTTTTAAGTCAAAAATGTTTTTTTCAGTGCTCGCTGGTGTATGTCGTAGCCATGCTGACAGCTTCAGTTTCAAATAGAATATTTTCATTTTATTTCTTTAATTTGTATAATTTTGATGTTAAATTTGTTTAAAATGCTGAAACTGTATTATAATTAACTTCAAAGTGTGAGATGACAAAAGGTGTCATGTAATGCCTGAAGTGCAGTCAACAAAATAGAACTTATGTAATTTTGAAAAAAAAAAAGAATGAGCTTGGTCAATCTGAGAAGAATACAATCTAAGGAGGACACAAAGGCATGTGATCATAAAATTTTTAAGAGATTTATTAAAGGGATAATAACTCTTCGTTTGGGCCAAAAAATGAATTTTCCTGGAGTAAACAACAATTTTCCCATGCTTACCAATGGTTAATGAATCCATTTTTACATTCAAAGTTAGTCCCTGGTTTTTTTCTAAAAAGTTTGGTTTTTTGTTAAAATCTCTTAAGAGATTTTAACAGAGTATAGCCATCAATGGAGGTCACTTGGTCTGAAGACAAGCTCAGATATCAGAATAATAGCTATAACTGCTGTTTTTGTTGTAAAACGGAATATATTATATTTCTGTGAGTTATTCACAATGTTTTTATTGTGAAATATAGACCTCATACGAAGAGTTATTATCCCTTTAACATTAACATATTGTATAACATACAAGTTTTAAGGTTTTTTTTTTTTTTTGCAGTTGACACAATACAACAATCAAATATGAAACTGGGAACAGAGTTAGGGAAGGGGGGTAATCATTTTGGCGTAATTTACTGATAAGAGTTTAACTACCTGTACTAGCAGGTGCCATGCTCTAGACCACTGTCTGCATCAAGGTTTCTTTTGGTTATACAGACATTGACAAAACTTGTTCCTAAAATTAATGTTTGTATTTTTCTGCTTCAAGCTCTCTCTCTCTCTCTCTCTCTCTCTCTCTCTCTCTCTCATGAGTAACAATGATTTTACATCATGATGATTATAGTTTTTCACCCAGTCTGCTTAACAGTTTATGACTGTTGCGTCATGTTATAAACCCAAACAACAGCTCCTTCATCCACTTCCACATGACATGAGCACCCAAGCATTGTCAGTAATCAAATCTGTTTCTGCTACTTGTCCAATATTCACACTGTGCAGAAAGCAGAGACCAGTCTCTTTTTTGTAACTAGCCCCTGTGCAGTTCACAGTCCCCAGACAGGAAATCCCGCATTCTATCCTCGAGGGCGAAGTGTTTGAGGAAAGATTGTACTCTGTAGAATTCAGGTAGACTCCACTTCTTACACAAAATGCCATCTCTCTGCTACAGCAACCATTTTGCTGCTGGCATGAAGCTTCACACTGGATGACAGACGGGGAGACTGTGGTCACATCAACTGGTATTGGAAAGACTGATTGAAAAGAAATAGAAGAAATTAATGACTGCAAAAAATTTTGAAATTTTGGTATATTACATAGTATTATCACTATATAATTTATAGTTTTTTCCACAGCTTTGAAATTGTAGGCTGTGCTGATAATTTTGTATAAATAGTTTTTGTCTAAGAAAAAGTAAAGAGCCAAGTATAATATGAAGTCAGATGGCCAACTAATATCATTTTACACAAATGATTGAACTAGTAGTTTGAATTTCATTAATGCTAACGGCACATTCCCAACTTTGATAACATTTATGAAGAAAAATTTGTATCTACATTGTCAATTTGACAACATAGGACAGAAATTCTTTTTAGCATAGTTCTAAATATAACAATATGTTTTAAGAAGAGAGATGGATGATAAATGAAAAAACATTAGTGAAAATTTTATTGTATTCCTTTGTTTTTACTGAGATGTATATTTTCTTTAACTTAAAAGTTTATACAATATTTTTAACACAATTTTTATGAACACAACATCCGAGAGTTATTTCTGTCAGAAGAATGGGTGCAATATATTAATTAAAAATTGGTTATATACTTGAATCATGAATGACAAGCATATAAAATCTGATATTAATATATAAAGAAAGAGTAGAGCTACTTACTTAAAGCTGCTGAGCCTGCAGATTTGTCCACAAGAAAACAGTGTATCAGTAGGTGAACAGACAGCAACAATTTGAGATACGTAATCATCCTTTGTTTTTCTTTCATTTGTAATATATGAAATGTGCAGATCAAACAATTATTTTTCCCTAAACTTAATATTCCTGATTAATCAAAATTCACGTTTCAGTTTTTCCCTCGTTCTTGTTTTGCACCCTCTTGAGATGTAATGGCTACCTGAGTACGTAATTGGAATTGAGTACTTTATAGTCTGTGAATGTTTATTTAGATCAATTTGTCATTAATGCTTTGACATCACAGATCAATGACGTTTTAATTGTTTTGTTTATATTGTAATTATAGCCCGAGAATAGAGTTAGCAAAATGGTTATATGTTGCTGTGGTACCCAACAAAAAGTGGAATTAAATGTTTTGAGAAATGTCACAAGCAGTGTTTCATGTAATTATGAAAATATAGCTAGTTAATTAAGTAGACTTCCTTTAGACTAAAACAAGTATTGATCCAATTACTTGTCAATTCCTTCCTTTTGATGATCATAGTTGAGCTTCCAAGTTTTAATCATTGGGTAAAAGTGATTCTCAGATTATTAATCCCTTAAACCAGTTTTCTTTTTAATTATTTTGTAAGGGGGTTATGTTTTGGTTTTATTTTATAATCTCTCAGAGTCATCCGCAGCCCAAGGGCCAGAAGATCTGAAATTTCCCCATTGTTATGTCTGAAAAGGAAATTGGGACGGCTTCATTCACATGCAATGTCTATTTTCTAAATTCTATTTTCTATTCGCGGTACNCTCAAATCGTTGGTGTCGAGCATCAAAACCTTGAGGTTCACCAGGCGTCCTATCTCTGGTGGCACGTACGACAAGCGATAAGCCAAACACGACTGCCGCTCAGGACTCAGATCTAACACCTCAAGTTCTAATAAGGAAAACACTTCATATGGGAGATCAGACAGTTCTTTTCCCCTTAGTTTCAGTTTCTTTAAACCATGATAAGCAGGATCCTCACTTTCGACACGCAGACGAAGCTGTCGGGACCAGTAAGCGGCCATCTGTAAAAGTAGCTCTCACCTGTTTCAGTTTTGTGATCTGATCTCCTGAATCTGTCCACGTAGTTTCACGGCAATGATAAACAGCATGGACGTTGACCCTAAGCAATGCTAAAATACCTCTGATGAATTTAAAACCTCACGTTTCGTACATGATGCCCAGGAGCGACAGACTGCCCAGGTGTTCTACACCGATGTGGTAGTCACCGTACATTCATGGGGACGACGGGTGCGAAAAGGTACTCCATGGCCACCTTATCTGTCCCTGGCAACCCGACGCGCAATCCGCGAGTAAATACACCTCTCACTCCAAACACCCGGCGCAGCACCTGTCAACACTCCACAGTGAACCTGTAATCAGTCCGCTTTGAACAAGAGTTTGTAAATACACTCTCGCGTCGGTTTTTAAAACAACAGCGTGATTAAGTATTCCGCATTATGGATATTGATCCGATATTATATTGCAATGCAAAGGTGATTTATTACGTAACTCTGCTTGCTATTCGATAACATGTGCACAGTTTTGTAAATGGCAATAACAAGGGGCTATTATTAGCATGAGCTGATTTGGAAAACAAATCAAGGGCTCCTTTGTGCATTAAATCAATGCCAAAAATGACCACTTAATCTTTATTCCTTTAACAACGACCTGCTGTTATTCTAAAAGTTTAAGGCACTTCGACGCTCAAGGTAGTGGTTAAAAAATAATAACATTATATTAAAATTCAATCAAATGTTAACTACCGTTAGAGAGAGCACCGCAGCTTACAGGTAACCCATAATATTAATACCCCCTCACCGTTTGAATTTGACTGTAAAATGTATTTCACTAAGCCAAACGTAATCGGCTTATCTTTTAAAAGTTATATTGAATTTTTCCACAGCTGCATTCACCTATTTCGCCGGTTACACTATATCCTATTGTCACTTATGAGACGTTTATTGGCACATGCACTTTTTAAAGTCAACACAAGGAGTCGAAAGGTGACAAAGTGTATTCAGTATGTGTGTATAACTCCAGTAAAGACAGATGGCTATTCAAATTCAAATAGCAACGCTTTAAGCCCTGCTTAAACAAAGAGCTTTTTTTCTCCAGTGTAAAGCAATACCACCGTACAAAAGAACTTTATAAGCACAATGACCAAGGTATATTATACAGTTGGGTATTTATGTCCCTGGAATTACTGAGTAATACTAGAATTGTGGTACATATAAAATGTCTCAAATTGGTAGAGGGGTTTGGTATTAGGATTCGATTTAAAGTCACGTTAAAAAATTTACGCTAATTGATCTGCAGAGTCCGGCAGTTTAGTTACAGGCGTTGTAGTCACCAAAATCGATCATTTTGTTTGTGCGACGGCTCACGAAAATCTAGCTATGAACTTATTGAGCAGCGCGCAATTATATGAACTAATGGGGAAGACTTCATAATTAATTTACAGATTTCGGTGCTGCGATTAGGTAACAAGGTTAAGAAGTAGGTGGGTGGCGAGGGCGCAGCAGTGAAATCCCGTATCAGTTCGGGTCCTTTGCATTTTCTAACTTATTCACGCTTTAGAAGCTTGTTCAAAGTGATCATAAAGCATCTTTACAAATGTTATAAAGCCAAATTTGCGTTAAGGTAGCGCATATCATTAACCTTATTTTTAACATTTGCAACACTGTTAACCTTATACCGCTGTGTTATACCAGGGGCTTATATCTTTGGTTAAACCTTGTAAACGTCTGAGAAAAACCCTTCTCGGTCTTTCCCTGTATCATCAAAAATCATGTTTCATCTGCTGACTACGGGCTTTTTCACATCGTGCGGTATAATTATCTGTATTGCATCGTATAAATATATATGAAGGTAATTAAAGTTACAGTCTTTACAGAGCATTTCCTATTTCTTTTATGTGCGACCAATAATAAAAAGTGTGCACTCGTACGCCGAATCGAGTCACGGTCACGCAATCTCACCCAGCTCAACTAACACAATCCACTGTCTTCGTAACCCATAAGGCTTCATTCACATGCAATGTCTATTTTCTAAATTCTATTTTCTATTCGCGGTATGTCTTATGATCACGGTCTGTGCCCTGAATATCCCGGGGTGTAATTACTGGCAGCGCGAGCCAGTTACTATAAGTTACTATAAGTAACTGGCTCGCGCTGCCAGTAATTACGCGGCGGGATATTCAGGGCACAGACCGTGATCATAAGATAGCGCGAATAGAAAATAGATTTTTAGAAAATAGACATTCCATGTGAACGAAGCCACAGCAAGTATTACAGAAACTGATCCGATCATATTGTAGTCAATGCAAATAGAGCATTTGATGATATAGATTAAGAAACAGATATTTCACTGTTTGCTGCCAGTAACGTGGTTACAGCTGCATCTGTAGTGGAGTTGAATAAGAACATGTATTTACCAAGGCATTGCTTTAATATAACACAATAGATCATTTTTTTACCTCCAGCAACTTAAGATATCTACAAATTAAACAAACACACAGTGTTATTAATAATTGAATTAGAGACTGTATTTATATAAAAAAAAATACCTGTCAACCCTCGGGCTAGCAAGTGTGATTTAAGTTTATGAATGCTTCATTTTAAAATGAATCGTTTTGACTAAAGGAAAAGAAAGCTATCTTTATCAAAATTAAACTTTTTGTCCTCAGTTATGGATGAATGTTTTGACTGAAAATTGTACCCAAGAAATGGAAGCAACTTAAAGTTTAAATAATGCTCATACTTACTTGTATCTCGTAAGGTCATTAGGCTAAGTTTAAATAATTACTTGTATAATTGCATTTTGTGACAGTACCCATACTAGAAAAATAGATGTTCTTACTGTGGGAATGACTTTTATGACTGTATGAGTATCATCATAAATTACTTTCTTTATTTTGTGCAAGGTGGTTGACTGGAGAGGAATAACAGGAAATTAGTGAGAAGTGTTGATTAACACCAGAATGCGTCACTCTCACACCTGATAGTAAACAGATATGACAAAGACACACTTTTAGTTTATACATGTAGGTTACAGGCCATGTTGAAGTAGTACGCAGTTAGTTTCTGACTTTGAATACATAATGCACAATTACTGATAAAATTATTGGATATATATGTTTGCGCAACTGTATCAGTTATTTTATCCTCTTCGTGAACATTTTTCTTGTTTGTGTATGTCGGTTTCATCAATTTTCGTGTGTATGACAGGTTTTGTGATTCCCACACACAATCAAAAATGAAAAGAACCATGGTTAAAATTAGAAAGTATTGATGAAATTTTGCCCTCAGTTTAGTTGCAAAAAATCAGCTAGGGGCAATCCATGCTCTTGCTAAAAGATAGAAATGATGAAAGAATTCTACCCTCAGTATATATGAGACAAGTACGGATGTTATCATTTCACATTGCAGTTCTTGCTCCTGTACTTAGAACATAATTGTGTTAACACAATGTAACATTTAAAGAATAAGTTGATATTGCTTTCATTGGTTGATCATTTTTTTTTTTTTTTTTTTTTTTACATTTAGAACATTACAGCATTGAATCAAGACATAACAATTCCTTGTTTTTCTAATTCCAGCAACTGATGGCCCTATATACTGTTTAACTACAACAGACAAATTTCTTATAAGGTAGGAAACCATGCAACATATTTGTGAAACATATTTCTTCTTAATTGAAATGATATGATACATACATCATTTTGAACAAAGCAATTTCAAGATTCTTTCTAAAAATTACCATTTGTATTGTTAAGTTAATCTAAGAAATATTGTATATTGCTCATAATTTTAATTTTCATATCTTTTCTCCAACCTATCAGTTAGCAGTAGAATATGATATTAATTCTGCATTTGTTATTATTTTTTTCAAGTGCTGGAACAGGTGATGTTATAGCCTGGAACTGGGTAGATGTATTGAGGAAGGTAATGTATATATGTAGTTGTTTCTGTTGATTTAGACAACATCATGTCATGTGATAGTCATAAAAATATCGACAAAGTGACTATCATCAGTTCCAGTGTTTTGTTTGTTTTTTTTTTTTTTTGAATGACATTTCTTTTTCTGCAGCATGGTGTGAAATTTCACTCTTAGTTTGCCTGCCTTGTTGTCAAAGTGCTGATTAATTATAAATCATATTTCCATTATCAGGCAAAGTGCATGTTAGGTAAATGGACAAACGACTCCTGTAAAATCCAGATATATCATCATCATTACTTTGTTAAGAGAACACCTAAAATCCCACTCTGGTATAATTGTTGGAGCTGAAACAGCACTGATTTGCCTTGCAATTGATTCTGTGAAAATGAAACTACCAAACAAGGAACATCACATGGTGTAGACTTCAGTTAGACATCTACACACATAATATTTGTGATGAGTGAAGTTTTTTTAGTGAATTTTTCTTTGATTTAATTTTAGACTCCCAAAGTGGCCTGGTCTTTGCCCATCCCCACTAACAGGTAAATATTACAACCACTGTACTCACTGCACAGGCGTAAGTCTAGGGTTTAATGGGGATGGGTTAATCCTTGGCCCTCAAAGAACAATTAGAACTGTCTTATCAAGTATGCATATCTATAATGGGTGCTAGTCAACCTGTCACAGTCTTTTAAGTACATATTTTATATATTCATCAGAAACAGTAATATAGTTACATGTCGTCGATCACTAGGTAAAAAGTGGTCTATTTGTCTTGCAGGTATGGTCTAAGCAACCCAGAGGTCAATTCACTGGCCATTGAGTCCAAGGTAACAAAATTCTTACCTGGAGATCAATGCAGTAATATTTTGTTTGTAATGCATAGTAATCAGACATGAGCTTTTTCTGCGGAAATGCGGAATTCTGCATTTCTAAATTCAATTCCTAAGGCAGCCCTGGACCCACAGCTGGTTAGGTGTTGGGTCCCATGATAAATGTTCAGAGACTTTTTTTTAAAACTCATGCCTGGTAATGCTGTCTTGTTTTATATATGTACATATTTTAAACTTGTTTAACATTTCAATTATTTTATATTGTGAATAAAATGTTATTGTGAAATGATTAAGCATGACAGAGGTTAATTTATTATTAATTATAGTTATTACAAATTTTAGGATGGTGGCAAAAGGCTGTTTGCTGGATGTGGGGACAACAACACGTACATATGGGACTTGGAGTCTGGGAGTTTAGTTGTATGTACTGTTTAAGTATTTATAAACAAATATTGAAAACATTGTACATTATTCACTATACAATAATGTTTATTGCAAATTATTTTAAGATTATGTGATTGACAGGTGTTTTTTGTCATAGGATTTTTTTTCTTTTTTTTGGGGGGGGTGAATGATTTGATTTAGACATGAAGCATCTGCTGCACGACATAATTATTATGTGTACTAAACGCATAACAGTTTATCAAAATTATTTTAGTACTGTATATAAGACCCCCAATTTAGAGAATACAGGAGGATATCTTTTATGATGGAGTTGTGCCTTGGTTTTTGCTGATTTGTTTGTTCTTGTTTACCCATAAATTTTGTTCTTACATATATATTGATGAATGTATTATTCATCTGTTACTTGACGTGTGAAGCATAGAATCCCACATTGAATTTGATTGATCATATCCTATTAGCTATGCTTCCTCTGCTTCAACTTTTTCTGTGAAGTATTTTCTCTTAAGATGGCTCTAAAGCCTTCTTTTCTTTTCTCAAAATTGGTGGGCATACATACAAAAATACTTCTTGTAAAGGATGATACATTTACATGTAATAATTACATCACACATATGTCTACAGTAAATTTACATTTTTTTTACGTTTGTGTGATAGGTAACTCTAAAATGTGAACTAGGCTCATGGTTTTAATGTTGTTCCAGCAAACACTAGCTGGCCACACAGACTATGTCCATAGTGTAGCCCTGAAGAGCCTGAGTGACCAGTGTGTGACTGGCTCTGAAGATGGCACAGTGAGGCTGTGGGGTAAGAGGGCAACTTGCAGATTTAACCATTTACCAACTGATAGAAACCTCTCCTCTCATATCTGTTCTGGAGAATTCATTACTACACCCACATGTACAGCCAATTCTTTTTTATTCCTTGACAACTAGCTAGCTGGCTCAAACCAACTCGGTAACTTCATTATCAAAAAGTAGCTTTCAGCTTCTTTAAACCAAACAATTTCATTGTAGTTTCTGCAGTTTATCATGTTATACTAGTTTCATACTTGTTAATTTATTTATTTCTTATTACAGACCTGCGGACTCCACAAGAACCAGTTGCAGTAATTGAACCTTATTCTGAAGTGGTATGTTTCTTGAATATGCATGCACACACACACACACAAATACACACACACGTACTCAGACTTACTTATTTAGTAAACACCAGCAAGGAAATTATTTCAAGTCTTTAAATAGTGATAAAACATAATATGTATGTCAGCGATCTTCACCCAGGAAAAAAGGTCATTTCCCCCCATACTTTCCTTTCAGACATGTGCCAGGTCAGAGTATGGGCGCTGGATAGGTTGTGTAGCTGTGGACCCCACAGATGATTGGTTGGTAAGATGGGTTTGATCTAGCATCATAAAGGTTATTGTAATTGATCCATCAGCTTGTTAAATATCAGGACCACAGAGATAATGGAGTTATATGTGAAATATTAAAATTTTTGGTGAAAAATCTTAAGGTCTGCATTAATTAATCAAAAAGTTCTAAATCTTTTTATGGTCCATTTCTGTATCACCAATTACACAGATTTGTGACATACATTGAATGTATGTCATAAATATGTTTAACTGGTGATTCAAATGATTGATATATAAGTATGTAAACGTAATTAAATTGAATTAACAAATAAATTGTATTTAGATATAATTGCACATTCCAGGTGTGTGGAGGGGGCCCCAAGTTGTCCCTGTGGCACCTGCGGACATTTGCAGTCACCACAGTATTTGACACACCGGGGGCTTGCCAGCAATATACAAGTTTTTTTGAGGACACTGTAAGTAGATCACACTATATTGGCCTCTCAGGAAATGGTGTCTAATTTCTTAACCATCAAGCTTATTCTAAATAGTAGAAGTAGCTAATCATGGACAATTCGAATCATTAGTTATTTCTTAGAGTTAAGCAGATCATACATGCACATGCATTACTAGTTGTTATGAGATGTCCAAATTATCAGTTGACCCAATTAATTTAGTCACATTTTGCCATCAGCTTTAAAAAATATACTGAATAATATACATAGAAATACTTTCCATCATTTTCTATGGCATTAGGTTGAAAGGGGGGGGGGCAAATATATCTCCTGAATAGAGGAATATAGTCCCATTCTCAAATAAATATGCTCTATGTAGGTATCATAATATGGGAGGCAAACAATTTCAGTACAAGCTGAAGAAAAAATACTGCTTTATTCTTAGTTCATAAACCATCTGATGGAATTTTTATGTACAGACACAGATGTGTCTGTACATATAGCTGTCATCTGCGTCTGTTGTCGCCGTCGCCGTCGTCGCCATCGCCGTGCACTTTTACCGATAACACGATAAGTGGAAAACTGTTTTTTCTTTTGGCTTGAAACTTACAGAACTGATGAATATTCATAATACGCAGGTCAAGTTCGAAAATCAGCATGATCGGGTCACTTATAGGGAATTAATGCTGTTTTTTCACTTCTTTCAACATATATGCAAAGCTAATAACACAATATAAGAAAAACAGATAGGCCAATTGTCATTATACTCACAGGAGTAGTCAAACTAACTATAACACAGGTTGAGTTCGAAAATCAGCATAATCGGGCCATTATTTTAGAAGTTATGCTGTTTTTTCACATTTCCTCAGATTCAATTGTTAGGCATGTTAACAGTCTCATTATTGAACTAATAAGATACGTAAAAGTGTTTGTTTGACATTTCCTGCATCTTAATAACATTGTTAGTTGATTATGTAAAAATGATGGTAAACTTGTTATTGTGTATTACGTTATAAAGTGTCAAAAATGGAAATAAACAAATATCATTGCAGTTTGTCAGATTCAATCATCTACTATATTCATTGTCTCAGAATGGAGGAAATTGGACATTTAACACCGTTCTATTGATATTTTTCCCATCTCATCAATTTTCTTAGTTGATCATATACAAATGGTAGAAAACTGTTTATTTTGTTTTATGTTAAAAAAGTGTTTTAAAAATGGAAGTAAACCCATTGCAGAACAGTGCTGTCTTGTTTCAGCATATATGCAGCACCGATAACACGATAAGTGGAAAACCATT